TTTAAAGCTATTCTTTCTTTTGAACAATAAATACTATTTCTTATCGTGCAACATTATTCCTCATGAGATCAGGGAAAGCAAAAAATGATATGATTTGCCTTATCCAAAACTGCAGGTACTTCTGTATATCTATTTCTCCTGGTACTACTTTAAACATGGTGCTGTAGGAACTACTGAATACCTGGTACTCCAGGTAATACTGTATACCTGGTACTCCAGGTACTACTGTATACCTGGTACTCCAGGTACAACTGTATACCTGGTACTCCAGGTACTACTATATGTCGGGCATTCCAGGTACTACTGTATACATGGTACTCCAGATACTATTTAATGCACGGTACTGCAGGAACTACTGACTTACCTGGTACTCCAGGTAATACTGTATACCTAATACTCCAGGTAATACTGTATACCTGGTAGTCCAGGTACTACTATATTCCGGGCATTCAAGGTACTCTGTATGTATGGTACTGCGGAACTACTGAATTACCTGGTACTCCAGGTAATACTGTATACCTAGTACTCCAAGTACCACTGAATACCTGGGACTACTAACGGATATTGTGGGTTTGTGTTGAGTCCAGCCTCCTCCGTTAAATCCTCTCTCTCTCCGTTCTCCGCAAACCATCAACTCCTAGTTCAAAACTCGAGACATTCATTCATTAAGGAAAATAAACATTAACAATGGTCTAGATAATTCATCTAAAAAAAATTATTAAATGCAAAAAAGAAACTGATTACTCGCGAACAACTATATTTTCCTTATATAAATATTCGCAACTTTTGAAATTTAAAATTTTGACAATTTGCCCAGCAGAATTCTGAGTTTAAAATATCAAAAATCAGGTTAAAAAAGATTTATAGATTTTAAAATATAGATTTTGTGGTGAGGACTCTGTTCCTTTCTCGTGATACGAGAAAATAATAAGAAAACACCAAATATTTTTATCAACGGAGCATTTTTGAAGTATAGAGTCCAAGACTCATATGTAAAATACGAATACAAATATTTATTTATTTATGAACAGTTTCAAATTTTTCTATTGTAATAATTTCACCAATTAATTTATCAAATACAAGTTTACAAAGAAATACTACATGGAAGGAAAGCTTAGATAGTCAATGGAACAATGGAACTACAATTTGAATATATTTAATACATGTATATATCGATCTATTTTCTAATTATATACAGGGTGTCCCACGAAACAGTGGAAATACGACTTGAAGGTCGTCTTAGATCTTTAAATTTATTTGAAGCATTCGTTCGTCAACCTGTTTTTACATGATTGATTTTTGTAAGAATAATCACACAATTCTGCCGGTCCTAGCATTTCCAAAAGTTGTCAATATTATTGGAGATATTAAGAATAGCATTTAGATTTCAATTATTAAATAAAACTAAAAACTTGTCATTTGAACAAAATCTTTAATATCTTTGGTTATGTGGAAAGTAAAAAAACGTATAGACCACAATTAGGAAATGCCAGGACTAGAGGTAAATTGTGATTATTAACACTTGAATTATACTTCTAAGATTAAGATATAATTCATTGAATTATGAAATCATATAATGTATTGAATTATGAAATCATGTAATCCATTGAATTATGAAATCATGTAATGTATTGATTTATGAAATCATGTAATCCATTGAATTATTAAATCATAGAATTCATGGAATATATAGAAAATAATGGAATGCATTGAATTATGAAATTATGCAATGCATTGAATTATGAAATCATGGAATGCAGTGAATTATGAAATCATGTAATGTATTGAATCATGACATCATGGAATGCAGTGAATTATGAAATCATGTAATGTATTGAATCATGACATCATGGAATGCAGTGAATTATGAAATCATGTATTGTATTGAATTATGAAATCATGTAATGTATTGAATTATGAAATCATGTAATCCATTGAATTATGAAATCATGTAATGTATTGAATTATGAAATCATGTAATGCATTGAATCATGAAATCATGTAATGTATTGAATCATGACATCATGGAATGCAGTGAATTATGAAATCATGTATTGTATTGAATTATGAAATCATGTAATGTATTGATTTATGAAATCATGTAATCCATTGAATTATGAAATCATGTAATCCATTTAATTATGAAATCATGTAATGTATTGAATTATGAAATCATGTAATCCATTGAATTATGAAATCATGTAATGTATTGAATTATGAAATCATGGAATGAATAGAATTATGTAATCATGTAATACAATGGAATCATAAATGCTTGAATCATGAAATGCAATGGAATCATAAACGCTTGAATCATGGAATACAATGGAATCATAAATGCTTGAATCATGGAATACAATGGAATCATAAATGCTTGAATCATGGAATACAATGGAATCGTAAATGCTTGAATCATGGAATACAATGGAATCATAAATGCTTGAATCATGGAATACAATGGAATCGTAAATGCTTGATTCATACAATGGAATCATTAATGCTTGAATCATGGAATGCAATGGAATCACAAATGCTTGAATCATGGAGTGCAATGGAATGATAAATGCTTGAATCATGGAATACAATGAAATCATAAATGTTTGAATCATGGATTACAATGAAATCATAAATGCTTGAATCATGGAATACAATGGAAGATTAATGTGTGTAAGATAGAAACATACATCTGTTTAAGTTGTAAACTCTCTCTTGTCAAAATTTCTTGTATAATCCATTTAAAGGGTCAGTTTACAAATTCCAACATGATACAATTTTTCTCAAATTTATCAAGGCTTGTAAAGTAATTTATTTATCACGTTAAAAAACTAATAATAATATGAAATTTGATGACGCAGATATAGATGCTGGAAACTGTCATTTTCGAATCAAAAACCTGGATTTTGTGAAGTTTACATACATAAAAAATAATAATGTCAATTTTATCACCAAACTACTTTTTGATTTAATGACTCTGCAATGCTTTATTCTGTAAAAATGCTGCAGTATTGCAATAAAAGATTTTTTAATTTAAAAAAGGCCATTTAGGAAAAAAAGAAAAAATATCTTAATATTTAATAAACATGCCGTAAAACTTTTTGCTTTCATATTCTCATATTTAGTAATCCCTATGTCTTTGCCACTTGATAGTGTCAAACTTAGATTATTTGATCTAATTGAATTCAAAGTTTGAAAGGAATTGAGTCTTTGGAACAAAATCAAATATTTAAACCACAATATCTTTAGAACTCGATGTTGTAAACCTTTGATATTTCAAACTCAGATTATTTTATCTAACAGAATTCATAGTTTGAAATATCTAAGGTATGCAACATTTAGTTCCAAAGATATAGTTATTAAAAAATCAGAGTTTGTGGCAAAGACTCAATTCCTTTCTAGAGGTCTACGCAAAGATGTAGGGATTAGAATTGGTGGCAAAGACTCAATTCCTTTACGTCCACACATACTCTGTTCAAGCATTATCATGAAATTCTCTAACATTCACTTTAAAGAGATGTTGATAAGAATCGACCTTAGAACAGATTCTTCTAAACAAACTCAGCCCAGTTTACTGACATGCATATATTTAGTATCATTTAAATATTGTATAGAGACATTATATTGATACTTATTGTTTAAATATAAAACTGGTTCATCGAGTGACAGTATTTATTGTAAAGAAACCCATTTTTTACTTAACCCATTACTCTTAAACTACAAAGTATGTCTTTGTTTACAAAAATTGTACTGCAGTACGTTGCGCAGTGACTGAAAGTTTTTTTGTATGGGGGGGGGGGGGTAGTGTCATGTTGCCCCCCCCCTCTCGTACAAATCTGCTGCACCAGGTTAAAAAAAATAAATAATAAATAAATAAACTCTGCGGTAAACTTTTTTCCTTGAGTAGTTTTCGTCATAAAAGATATGAGGTTTTCCTGTGCATCTTTCAAGGGTTTCTTAGGATTATTATCATCATTAAAATTATAATGTAAAGATAGTAATTTCAGAGGTGTACGCATTTTTAGTACTGCAGTGTACTGTCTCTGGGCGGTAAAGTAAACACAAGATGGATGTCACAGCCTGACAGGGGAACCATCTTTCACATAAAAAATTAATTTAACTATTATATTATGTGAATTATCAAAATTTTAAAATTAAATGCTTTAATCCTCTTCGGATACTCGAATAAAATTGACACATCTATTTTTGTTTACAAACACCGCCCAGAGAGAACTGGTTTCAATATATACGCACAGAATACGCAACAGCAATTGACTTTCCTTGCCTTATTTAAGATTTATCATTTCTGAGGCCGTTCCTTCTACAGATAGTGGTCGTGTAGTTCACGTACTTTGGAGGACGATAATTTGGCCGCTAGATGTCTCCCGTGAGTTATTCATGGACGGACAGAGTTTCTCACGCGGCACGCCATACGGTATCTGGATCATTAGCCGTACTGTGGCCATGATTTACTTTGAGAAAAGGTGGCAGCACTAATCAAAGTAGCTCTCTGATTTCATTTCATAAATTGATTGCAGTGTTTTGTTTTTGAGCACCATTATGAATTTGAAATTAAATCAAAGTACAATTTCCTATGTTTAAGATAGTTTGCCGCGTTAAAATCAAATTCGTAATAAGCTTTCCCTTTTTTTCCGTCGATAGGGGTCGCATATGTATGTGTTTATGGTCGGACAATACTCGGACACTGATAACTCATGGAAGAACGCGTTTGAACAAAACACTATTTCTCCGTACATTTCACGACCAAAATAGGAGGCGTGAAGTTGTCGACCAATGTAGTTTATGGAAGGAACGGCCTCTGAAGTATATATCGGATACAAATGTACACTGGAAACCCTTCTGTGCACGTAAACGTACTGCAAGTACAATTGTATTGTGTAAAATCAGAAAATTATATTTAGTTTTAAAGGGCAGAAATCTACAAATCGTAACTAAAGCCGCATGTGATTCCATATCACTATGGTGTTCTTTTTATTTTATTTTCTTAAATGTATTTTTATTTCAGAACTACGTGTACAATTGTACATATATTGTGTACTGTGTCTGCAGCATTGAAGAAGATTGCAAAGAGTTGAATGTCAGGAGTGTGTAGACCGAACCCTCTTCCCCCGGCGCAGGTTTATATTTAACGTAAACAAACTTGGATTTAACTAATAAATTAAACCGTTGAGTGTACACAATTCAATCATAATTCGCGGATTTTTTACAAGAGGTAGAAAACACTTTTTATTTCGCTTATGAATCTGTTTGGTGTTAAGTGAAATTATGCATACCGTAAATATTTTGCCCTCCCTTAACAAGATGCCTTTTCTCCGCAATATTACCATAAGAAGATTCAATTTAATTTAATAAAAGAGAACTTTAGTTGATCATTGATTACTGAAGCTGTTGTATGGACGAAACTAATGGTTTAAATTGTAACTAATTTTATTCATTTCCTCGCATTTATCAATAGTTTGAATCTGAGTAACCAAATATAGGTGAGAGAACGAGTTAAACTCATTTGAACCGATTTAAAAAGTTGCCAGAGCTGGGAACTTCAGTATTGTGGATATCGAGATCAATGCTTGATCGCAATATTTTCAAATTTTGATAAACTTTGAAAATAAATGTTTTTATGAAATATGAATTTAAAATTCTCCTGGGATCAAAAAAGTAAACTGTAATTTGTCTGCGCAACTTTTATCGGAGGGGTCAATTTTAGGCTAACTAAAAATGCATTTTAGAAAAAAAAATTTGTAGTCTTTCGATAATGTAAAATTTGAAATTAGGTTTTCAGAACAATTACTCTTCACCAGCTTGGAAAATATATTGTTAAAAAAGATCATTTGTTACAATTTACAAAATGAAAATATCGGAGAGGGAAATAATTGGTTTGAATGAGAAGAACATAGTTCTTAATTTATATATTTCTTTGGATTCATTCAAGTTTGAAATTCGGGTCCTAACTGCAAAGTAAATTGTGATTGCTTATTTGTAATATCTCTTGCTTTGTAGTTGAATAAAAATTTGAAAATATGAATATTCAAAGGACGGGTAAAGAATGCCGTAAACTAATCAAATTCTTTGATTAACTCTATGACGAGATATGAATATCTAGAACTGGAGAAGGATGGAGGTTAATCAAATGTCCTGTTCTTTTTTCAGGATGGAGAAATCTGTAAGGGGAGAACTGTGGACACGGGAAGAAGGAAACCTTTTATGTACCCGGATTGTAGCTTTTCATGTACCCGGATCGTAGCTTTTCATGTACCTAGATCGTAGCTTTTCATGTACCTGGATCACAGCTTTTCAGAACGAGAGACGAATCATGTACTCGGAGAAACTAGTAATATACTAGGAAATATAAATATCTAGGACGGAAGAAGGACTTAATCTAATAATATATCCGGAGTAACTCTAATATAAAAATATCTAGGACGGGGAAAGGATGTAATCTGATCATATACCCAGAGTAACACTAATATATAAATATCTAGGACGGGAGAAGGATGTAATCTCATAATATGTCCGGAGTAACTCTAATATATAAATATCTAGGACGGGAGAAGGATGGAATCTGAACATATACCCGGAGTAACACTAATATATAAATATCTAGGACGGGAGAAGGATGGAATCTAAACATATACCCACAGTAGAGAAGAAATCTAAACCTGGAAAAGAATATTTACTATATCAGGAACACACTTCATCAATTATAGTTGGTTTCATTTCTTCTCAAAGTCAAATGGAGAGAGGGGTAGGAGGTGGATTAGATGAGATGGAGGATAGTTTGGGGTTGGAAGGGGGGGGGGGATTTTCTAGCTTTTTCCATTTAATCGTCCGCTTTATCCATTTTATCATCTTGCTTTATCCATTTATCATCTTGCTTTATCCATTTTATCATCTTGCTTTTTTCATTTTATCATCTTGCTTTTTCCATTTTATCATCTTGCTTTTTCATTTTATCATCTTGCTTTTTTCATCTTGCTTTTTCATTTTATCATCTTGCTTTTTTCCATTTTATCATCTTGCTTTTTCCATTTTATCATCTTGCTTTTTCATTTTATCATCTTGCTTTTTCATTTTATTATCTTGCTTTTTTCATTTTATCATCTTGCTTTTTCTATTTAATCATCTTGCTTTTTCCATTTTATCATCTTGCTTTTTCCATTTTATCATCTTGCTTTATCCATTTTATCTGAGGGATTAGTTTCCTCGACCTGAAAAAGAAGATAATGGAGAGAAAAATATATTTTCCTAAACCCAGAAAAGGCAAATTTGACAAGGTGATCCGAATAAAAAAATTATAATGCGCCCACATTGAGACTTGAAGATCAAAATTGTAAGCGGGTTTAAAATTAGATTAGCTCTTTTGATCATTGAAATAATGATATTTGTAAATTACCATATATTGCCTTAATCATGCTTATAAAGAACGCCTAAGAGTTTGGTTTGAATCTGATGCATGATTTAACAGAATCCATAAAGTTGTAAAGTTTAGTTTCCTGAACCTAACTTTATATTCGTAGAGCATACCCAGCTTACATCGGGTATTCGAGATGTACGATCAGAGAAAATAGAAATAAAGAAGGGAAGTGGGTCAAACTTTTACATTATCATTTCAGATATTTCCTTCCATATCCTTCTCATCCTTTAAATGTCCTTTACATTTCCTTCCATATCCTTTACATTCTATAAATGTCCTTTACACTTCCTTCCTTTCCATCACATCCTATACAATACATATCCCTCCTTTTCTTCCATACACTTCCCTTTCCTTCCGTAACATTCCCTTTCCTTCAATACACTTCCCTTTCCTTCCATACACTTCCTTTTCATTCCATGCAATGCTCTTTCCATCAATACACTTCCCTTTCCTTCCATACACTTCCCTTTCCTTCCATACACTTCCCTTTCCTTCCATACACTTCCCTTTCATTCCATACACTTCCTTTTCATTCCATGCAATGCTCTTTCCTTCAATACACTTCCCTTTCCTTCTATACACTTCCCTTTCCTTCCATACACTTCCCTTTCCTTCCATACACTTCCCTTTCCTTCAATACACTTCCCATTCCTTCCATACACTTGTTCTTCCCTTTCAATCTCCTATCTTATCTTCCCCTCGTAAAGGATAATTTCCTTTTTCCTGTTCTTTGAACATTTTCTAGAATCAAAATAACAATTTCGTTTTAATTTCCCGTTCTCGGGAAATTTGGGGAATTGGGTTTTAGAATTTTTTTTCAAACATAATGTTTTAACAGAAATCCTTCACTAAAGCTGGAATATTCTGATAGATATTAGAAGTGTTGTGTAGGAGGGGGGAGGTGCTAATAGTGTCCTACGTCTCTCTGTTATTATCTATAGACATGTTATTCTTACTTTCGATATCATGGTTTTCTTTCTCAAGGTAGGTAATGAATATAAATGACACAAAAATGCATTTTTACTTTAAACAAAGATAAGATAAAGATATTAAAACATTTTTTGTTGCAATTTCAGTTTTACCAATTAAACTTGGTTTCTAGGCTGTTGGAGAATATTTTCGTTTAACGTACAGATACTTCGTTCCTCGAGCTCTTAGACCTGTCAGGGGGGAGGTAGCTCTAGTCACAGGCGCAGGACATGGGATAGGTAACATTTACTGGAGCAGGACATGGGATAGGTAACATTTACAGGAACATGACATGAGAAAGGTAACATTTACAGGAGCAGGACATGGGATAGGTAACATTTACAGGAGCAGGACATGGGATAGGTAACATTAAAGGAGCAGGACATGGGATAGGTAACATTTACAGGAGCAGGACATGGGATAGGTAACATTTACAGGAGCAGGACATGGGATAGGTAACATTTACAGGAGCAGGACATCGACTTGCTGGGTCTGATTGGTTCCATAATCTTCCTCTAGTTCTACTTGGACTGCGAAGTGTTCCCAGAAAAGATTCGTTAATTTCTCCCTCTGCAACTGTGCTTGGTTCTACGATGGTTCTATTGTGCAGTATCTGGATAGCCCTGAGTATCTCCAACGAATCCAACAGAAAAAGAATACTCATGTTGCTCCGCCTCATCCCAACTCAGCTACGCCATCTTCAGTTCCACCACAAGTTCCTTCAAGTTTGCTCCGATCAACTCATGTTTTTGTCAGAGAAGATGCTTCCAAACCTCTTCTATCTCCGCTCTACAAAGGTCCGTACCTGGTGCTTTCTCGAACTCCAAAATATATTTTTCTCTCCAGGTTGTTTCCAAGACTGACTCTGTGTCTATGGATAGATTGAAACCAGCCCTCTCCGAGTTCCCTGTAACAGCCTATGAACCCCCTCGCCGTGGTAGACCTCCAGTGGCTCAAAGACCTCAGTCTCCAATGCCTCCGACACCAAGTCTTCAAACACCTCTTTCGAAAGCTAGAAGTTTAAAGAAGAGGGTTCGGTTTCTCCTCCAGTCTTCAGCCCGGAGAAACCCTAGAAGAATAGTTAGAGATAAACATCTTGGTTCCCTACAATCTCTTAAGATGCTGGGGGGACCCCTGTGGATGAGCAAGATTGTCGTCTTCCACCAATCAAACCAAATATATATGATATAGATATTTTTCCTATGTTGTAAACTTGTAAGTTATATATATACATTACGTCTTTATGTCACTACACTAGGACAAAACATTAAATTACACCTTTCAATTTTTTTAAACCTTATCATCAATTAAATCCACAACTACAGCTTGCAAACTCAGAAAATAAGAATCATTTCTTTTTCTATTTCACAGACCACAATCAACTGTGTTTATATTATTGCAGGTAGAGAGGTAGCTCTAAAACTTGGAAGGCTCGGAGCTATTATTATTTGTGTTGATATAAATGAGGAATCCAACAGGTACTTTCTACTTTTTCCAATACTTGATTCGAAGTATAATTTATTTACCAATACATTTTTTATTCATTTAAATTATCTTATTTTTTACAGTTTTTGTAAATTTTATATTTAAACATTTATTAATTTTATTTTTATCGTTTATAATACTTATATTTTAATGTGCACATTTTATATTTTATTGGAGGTAATTTTTATCAAAATGCATGTTTTTTTGGTCCATCATTATGATTTATTCAAGGAAAATTATAATCTTTATCAATGTTAATAACATTTTTTGTAAACGTGCATTGTGCTACAGAAAAAAAATCAATGGTACCAAAAAATAAAAATTAGTAACGTAGTACTGAATGAAAGGATACCAATTGAAAAAAATTTGAATTGCCAGATTTAGATTTTATGAAATTATTTTAGACAAGCAGCTAAGCAAATAAAAGCCGAGGGTGGGGTTGCCTGGGATTTCCAGTGTGACGTCAGCAACAAGTAAGATTTAAAAAAATAATAATGTACCAATTGAAATTTACATCCTCCAGGGATTTAATGATAAACCCGTTGATTCTATATTTAAGAAATGATCATTCAAAAATAAATTCTTTAACCATTTTATCATTTTATGGAAAACAGAAAAACGGTTATCAAGTTCCTCTTATAAAGAAGTCATATTAATCAGTTATTTTGCCTAGAGAAGTGGTTGGTGATGGGGGGAGGGGAGGAGGGATGAGGGGGAAGGAAGGGAGAATGTTGGATTAATGAAATATTTTGCCTAGAGAAGAGGTTGGTGAGCTGGGTAGGAGGGTGAGGGAGGATGTGGGGGACGTCAATATCCTGATCAACAATGCAGGAGTGATGATCACAAAACAGTTCATGGAGCAGTCAGATCTAGAGATTGAAAAAACTGTCAATGTAAGATTTTTTTACAAAAATATCAAACTCTGTAAGAATTATGTGTTTTTAGTAATCGGGCTAAAAATCTTTTAAATAAGAAGGGACTTTCTATAGTGACATCCTAGTGACACCCCAAAGATTGCAGTCGTCGCTCATTTCATAAATTATAAATTATTTAAAACTTGCAGAAGTGCCCGGCGTTGCCCGTGGAACTTTGAAGAAGAAAAAATCGATTTTTAAAAATAAAAGTGTTTCGATTTTTTTGCCATGGGGGGGGGGCAAAATTTGAACTGTAAATTCAAAACATTTGGCTTCTTGGATATCAGTCATATAGGCCCTGTATACGCCCTTGGATGATTATAATTTTTTTTTTAAAAGATGACGATCATTCCGACACTTTATGTTGTTTCTGACTGTTTGCCTGTATGTCAGGTAAACCTGATGGGACAGCTATGGTGCTTACGTGAGTTCCTGCCTGCTATGCTCAAGCTCAATCGAGGCTCAATCGTCTTCATGTGCGGTCTTCCAGGGCATGCCGGAGCTCCAAATATGTAGGAACCCTTTCTTTATTTCTTTTCAATAAAAATATTTTGTTTAGAAGAATGTTTTATAACATTTTTGTGTACTTGAAGTGATATATTATGGTTATTTCAATATCATAAATATCGCAGCAAGGAATACACAAATAATATAAACATTTCCCTTAGATATGAAAACCCAATTACAAATATTGGATCTTGGAAAACATGTCTACCTACCATAGCTTAAAAAAATTAACGATTGTATGATAAAGTGACAAAATTCTTTTTTTTTAAACAAAAACATGTTTAAAGTAACCAAACTGATTTTACCAAATATGTATTTCAAAACATTTTGTGCATTTCTTCATTTTGAAAATTATTTGAACAATTATTCCTGTGTAATTTTAACAATTTACAGAATAAGAAGTAAAGAACCCAATATAAAAAGAATATAATTATTTAAAATAAAATCTGGACAAAATAATTTCAACAAATCTGTAAATACCTTTAAATTAATGGTTAAAACTTTTAATATTTATTGTTTATTTGTTCTATCAAAGCTGGGAACTTTTGAATAGTGGATATTGGGATTAATGCTTGATCTACTCTTTTTCTTAATCTCCAGATTAAATAATGCTTGTTTTCCTCTTGTAATTAATCTCCAGATTAATTAAACGATCGGGAGTATTACAAAGTTTTCAGTTCAGAATTCATAGCCTTAAATATCAAAAGTCTACGACATTAGGTTGCAAAAATAAAGGGGTTAGAAAATCAGAGTTTGTGACGAGTACTCGGTTCTAATTTGTTTTAACAAAAGTCCCGGATCTTAAATGTTTGCCAAAATCAATCAATCATGTTTTATTTTCCTATAAATATTATAGCAGAAAAATTTTCATTAAACTGTAATATGTTACTTATGAAACTGATGCTGTAATATATCTCCATTTATGGTTCAGGGTTCCATACTCCGCATCTAAGTTTGCTATACGAGGCATGATGGAAGCTCTATACATTGAGCTGAGACAATCTTATCCAGGAAACAAGCTGCATCTTATGCTGGTCAGTCCGTTCATCGTTGAAACGGGTGAATTTTCTTATAAACAATAGAAAAATATTACTTGCTCACTAAAAGTAATAGATTTAGATAAAATTACCATTATAAAGTGGACATCAAAAAGAACATTTATCATATGAAGTATGACAGGAAATGGTAACCATTTGAAAGAAAAAGGTTAATGCTAGAAAACACGAAGTATCTTTGATAGTTATATTTTAGTAAAATACAGCGAAGCTTATTTTGTGTAGGTATGGTAAAGAGTCACAGAATTAGATTTCCAAACTTTATGGGAGTTGTGGATGTTCCGACTGCCGCGGATACTATTTGCAATTCCCTCCGGCGCCGAGCAGCCATCGTCTTCATTCCAGAAATTTTCTATTATGTTTCCAGCTTAGTGAGGATTCTACCAGCTAAGGTTCAGCTCCTACTTACAGATTTTTTTGATACAGGGATAGATAGTCATGAATAAGAATACAATATTCCCAAATATCTAATGTATTTATTGAACAAAAATATACACATTCATAAATAATGTACGTTTATTGCATTTTCCATCATTTATTCCTTCTCTTACCTTTCTCTTTACTTTTTACGTATCCCTTTAGTTCTGATCAGATTAGATGTTCTCCCAAAACCCCAGATAGTGTTTTAAATCGTTTGATTTGTTGTACAAAAACTTTTAATAAAACTTACAGCATTTTAGAACTGTATTCTGTTCAAGTTTGCTTTTATCAAACGTTGAAATTTGGAATATCTTTATCCTACATCTACAAGTATTTTGAATATCTTTATCCTACATATACAAATATTTTGAATATCTTTATCCTACATATACAAATATTTGGAATATCTTTANCTTTGCTTAACTTTGAAGTTGTTCACAATTAATAAAAGTGTTTATACTCCGTTGTCGGAGAACAAAGAGAAGCGGGCTGAAATTGTTTGGTTTGGTTTCTCGTCTCCGAGAGGAGCTTTTAGGTTGAAGACGACATTACATGGAGGGGGGGGGGGGTCTTAATGTTAATGGTTGACACCTACATATACAAATATTTGGAATATCTTTATCCTACATATAAAAATATTTGGAATATCTTTATCCTACATATACAAATATTTGAATATCTTTATCCTACATCTACAAATATTTGGAATATCTTTATCCTACATATACAAATAATGGAAAACGAACCAAATATGAGCATTTTAACAAGTCTGTTTTAAAATCGTTTTTGGTTATTTTTATGCATAGATTTCTCGTCTGGGTCAAAAGTGAAAGAAAAACAAATTATTGAAACAAACTATTTTAAAAACATGTTCTCTTCTTAAACTGTGCCAAATTTTGACTCTTGAGAGAAAAAATAGGCAAAACGCGAACCAAAACTGTTATTTTTTTCCAACAAATCTTTCTTTCTCTTAATCTCCTTTTCTTTCTAGTTGATGCAAATCCTCTTTTTTTCATTTTTATTCCTAATTGACTCCTTCCCAGTTCACCCTGACCCAACTAAAAATGCAAGTAATTTTTTCCTGTATTTCTTCACTTTTATTATCTACTTGCAAGATACTTAAAATCAATAACCTCACAATTTTAAAAAACCATGTGGTTTCCAAAATGTTTTTGGCCTTTTTTTATTTAACCCTAATCCCAAGATATAAAAGTTCATCTATAAATATTTAATTTTTTTCAAAAGGGGAAAATTATTATGATGGAAACAAAATTTAATTTTGCTGTTGGTATAATTCTTAGTTATCATCTCATGTGAAGATCACAATCTTCCTTGTTGATTTCTGGATTTTATATTCAATCTTCCTCTGCTGGTATCTCATCTCCAGCTTCTTCTTAAATTATCATTTTCTTGAGATTATCTCTATCTGTTTGTATCTGTGAATTGAGTGGAAGGATTGTATGAGCTAGGTTTAGATCTTGTAATCCCTCCTCTGGTCTACCAAGAGCAACCAGAGCTTTAGCTCTCCTACAGAGTATCTTGACCCGTCTTTCCTTGTTCTCATCAACCTGGAGAATAGGATGGAGTTAACACAACTCTTTCAGTTAGAGTTTAAAAAGTATTCGGTACACGGGCAGCCGTAGTACATTTGAATTTCCGAGCCGGGTCAACCTTTCTGGTCCCAGTTTGTACTGTACCTAGCTTTATAGGCAGGACTAGCCAGTGCAACAAAGTTGACGCGGTCAGACTTTATGCTTCATAAAGTTTGAATTTACTTTTACTAAAGGGGCAGATTTGCGTGGGTAAATGATGGTGTTTTTTCTTTTTAAGCTGAGATTTAAAGTGACACTCCAGCTAAAATGTGCATGCCCGATTTAAAAGGTACCCTTTAAACCGTGTCATAAAATTACTTATATATTCTTATCTTTCTTTCTGAAATAGATCATTTTCAATTGTGCAGCTTGATAATTCGACATGCAGCCATGAAAAAGAAGAAATTAAGAGAATTAAACACTTTTAAATAGATAAACGACAATATCTTCTTTATTGTTACGCACTTATAGATGTAAAGTTTATCGTTGTATGTCGTTGGAGAATCTTTGATTGGAGTTCACTTGTAATTAAGTTCACAGTCCCTTTAATTAAATGATATAATTAATTAATCATGTAATTAGGTTTACATTCCCTTTAATAAAATAATATAATTATTTAATAATGTAATTGCCAGTAAGACCACCTGTAGGGTTTAAATTTGTTTTATTAAAGTGCACTATACATTATGTTAAATGTATGCAAATAAAAGTTTGTAATGATTTTTTACGATTTGTTCTAAACTGCGAACAACAGCACAAACAGTTTGATAGATCAGATGATATACGTACAGGGTGTCCCAGATCATATTAGATCGTTTATATCTCTAAATTGCGAGTTTAGTACTAATCGGAAAATTTAAAAAGAATGCACCATTTAAAAAAATCTATAAGGCTAATATTAAAATTTGTATGCATAGAATACTAAGGTTTGTGTGTATTATGTGCGTATTTTGGCGCTAAAGCTTGGAGATAATCTAATATCATATGGGGACGCTCAGTATAAAACCTCTGGAATTCAGTATATTTACCGGTGGGTTGAGCAGACTGATTGCCAGGTTTGAGTCTTGGAGACATTTCTCCCATTCTTCTAGTAGCAGATAGACCAGAGTTCGGTTACTAACTAACTCCAGGTTACTAAATAAAAAAGGATCATCCTGGGTTTAAACTTAATTGTCAATTACTTAGCTTACCTGGGGAATTGTTCACATCCTTCTGTAAGAATACTTTCCGCAGACCTGAAGACAAAGGTTTAAAATGTCGTCTTGAACTAACAAAATTTCTCCTCTGAGGCCGTTCCTTCCATAAACTACATTGGTCGACAACTTGACGTCTCCTATTTTGGTCGTGAAATGTACGGAGAAATATCTATCTATCAGATAAGAATTTAGCACGAGACATCTAGCGGCCAACATATCGTCCCCCAAAGTACGTGAAATACACGACCACTTTCTATGGAGAGAATGGGCTCTGATAATGCAGGGTTACCCGGGGGAGTGAAGCCCTGGACGCCATAAGCCTCCGCTGTGCAGACAAGAGCCTCCCAGATTTGCTAAGCAGACCGAGCCTCCGCTATGCAGACCGTGCCTCCTCTATGCAGTAAACAAACCTCCACCATACAGCACAGCTTTTTTTAAATCATACAAATTTTCTAGATTTAATTAGGCACTATTTATGATAATTGATAAATACTTCTCATCTTTGAGAAACCTCTCATACCACAATGTCGATAAATTAGTAAAAACATCTTTTATTTAAACTTCACAAGTTTAAAGAAAACCTCCTGTATTACACAGGCACATTTTGTTGTATTGCGCATGCTCAATACTGCATAGCTGAGGCTCGATCTGCCTAGCAAATCTGGGAGGCTCGCAAGTCTGCATAGGATCCGGGGGTTCCCTCCCTCGTTACCCACAATCACACAGGATAAAACTTCAGAGACGACTGAATAGAATTTATTTATTCTTTATTCTTAGATTCCTGGTACCCAGTGCTACCTGGTACCCTCCTGGTACCCTGCAGAAACAGACTTGTTCGTATCTTTCCCCGATAATTTAATAAACAAACACCTTTTAAAACTACTTTTGATGCAAAAGTCCAAATTAAACCTTCATATCATCATATTTTAAGAGTTTCAAGTCGTTATTACAGTACGTCTCATTCTTTGTGGGTAATCTTGAAGGTTCAGCCAAAATATTAGAGATTTTAGAGCAAATGTACTCTAAGGACTATAAGCATGGAGAAAAGAATATTCTATTCTCTATGTATATAAGTCGAATATAATTACTAGAGGTAAACGAATAACTATGAATTTAAAGTATTGGAAGTTTTATTTCTGAAACGAGCTGTAAATTAATCGTATGAAGATGTATCAATAGATAAATTATGATTGAGTATTTACCACAAACCCAATTTTCTAAACTCTATATCTTGGCAATCTGAATGTTTAAATCTATGTTATTTGATATAAAAGAATTCTGCGGCATTGGGTGGTAAAGATATTGAAATTAGAAAACCACCATTTCGGTAATTCGGACATGTACGTATTGATATATATGCATAGAGAATAGAATATATAGAGAGGAATTAAAAGAATCTCTCGGTATGAATTTTTTCAGTCCCTTTCAGCCTGAAAGGGAGTTCAAAGTGTACAAATCATGTAAATGTTCACAAATTATATGCAGTAGAGTACATTAATACAGTATGTTCCCTAGACTATTCATTTCAATTTCGAATTTTTTAAACTGTTTAATAAACTTTATAATGAATTAGGTTCATTTGATTTATAGTTATAACGGAAAATCATCGTTTGTAAAGTGGAAGGCATAGAGTCTATGTGAAATGATCATTGGTCAATTATGAAACCAGCCTTTTTCCTAATTTGGTTTTCTTTTAACAATAATTTTAGATTTCCTATAAAATGATATTCCAGGGCCCAACAGGTTATATAGCATAAATATGTGAAGTACACCTGCAGTATGGAAACAGTACAACAAAATGGCCAGTCTTTTTTCTAGTAAATTCCTCTCTATATATTCTATTCTCTATGTATATATGCTGAACACTGTAAGTAATTATATTTTTATAAAAATAACTTGATATTTATTTATCTGACCTTAGATCCCCACACTGGATAAAGTTCACTGCTTTCTGATTAAACTGTTTAAATGTCAGGATTTCTGTTTTATCCACTTCTTTATCTTCTCTTTCTTTTCCTTCTCTTAGTTTTCCTTCCTCCATCTTCTTCATCCACTCCTCCTCCTCCGCCTTCCTCGACTCTCTGGCGGGCAACCGGGTTCTTTTGCTCAGGTTCACCTTATTATCATACAATTTTTTTCGTTGGAACTGAAATTACAATTTGTTGTGTATTTTTAGAAATTAAGATCCAATGCCGAGTATTGAATTCAATCTTCAGATCGCTTAGTTATAGTTAAGGGAGATAAGGTTGTGGTTCAAGAAGAATTGATTTCTTTTTAAAATGTAAAATGTAGAAATGCAGAGAGATTATGTAAAGAGTTTAAGTGGAGCATTCGAACCCTTCTTAGTATTTTCTGGATATCAGAAATTTATCCTTTCGCGAATATACTTCCCTAAATTAAATAAACTTACTTAAAGAGACTGTAAAGGAAAAAGGAAAGGGGGTATAGACTGAAACCTAAGCATTTTAGGAGTTGATTGAGACCCATGAGAGTTCAATCTGATGTTCCTGTCTCGAGATATTGATATTAAACTGTGTCAAATTTATAAAAAATCCATAGATATAAAAATGGTAGGTTTAAAAGAATCATATTCAGAAAATACAGGGTGTCCCACATCATATTAGACCGAGAACGGGTCTAAATAACGATTTTCGGGACTAATTAGAAAATTTCATTAGAATGAATCATTTTGAAAAATAATATAAGGCTTAAATAAGAATTTTCTTGCGGAGAAATTTTTCGAGTATTAAGGGTTTATTTTGGTGTTAAAGGTTGGAGATAATCTAATATGATATGGGACGCTCTGTACATAACCAATCTGATAAACGACGATATCCCAGAATAGCTTAAGAAACTTAGGTTTGCCTCTATTATTGTTTGGATTTAATAATTTTTCATCTTTAATAGATATGATAAATAATATTATTTATACGTCAGTATCACGTGACCAGAACTTCCACTTATGGCAGTGCAGTATACTGGTCACCTGTTACAGATGGAGTCACGTGATAATGATATTGTACTGCCATTGGTTGGAGTTCTGGTCACATGATACATACATATTTATTATATTATCAGTTATATCTATTAAAAATGTAAAATTATTAAAGTCAAATAATAATTAATAGAAGCAACCCTAAGTTTCTTAGACTCCTCTGGGATATTGTTGTTTTCAGATTGGTTGTTTATTTGCTGAATATGATCCGTTTAAACCTATTATTTTTATACAAAATTATATATATATATAGATTTTAGTATAAATTTTACACAGCTTTATATCAATTTCTCTAGTCAGGAACATCAGATAGAACTCTTTTGGGTCTCGATCAACTCCTAAAAACCAGTCAGTGCTCATACCTTACCTGGATTCCCTGGACAACAGAACAAAATCTCCACCTCCATATCAGTGATCTTAACCTACCTGGAATCTGGATACCAGAACTCGAACTCCAACTAATACCAGTGTGTTTTCTCTACCTATTTATGAGAGCTAACAAAAATCTAAAAAGTAAATACCAAAGCTCTTACCCTACTGGGTATCAGAATCAACCTTACCTAGATAACTGTACTCCAAATTACCTGGATACCAGTGCTTGCCTAGATAACTGTACTCCAAATTACCTGGATAACAGTGCTTACCTAGATAACTGTACTCCAAATTACCTGGATAACAGTGCTTACCTAGATAACTGTACTCCAAATTACCTGGATAACAGTGCTTACCTGGATATCAGTGCTCCAACCTTACCTGGATATCAGTACTCCAATTTTACATGGATTACCGTACTTCAAACTTACCTGGCTAACAGTTCTCTTACCTTCACTTGATAACAGTACTCCAACCTTACCTGGATAATAGTACTCCAACCTTACCTGGATAATAGTACTCCAACCTTACCTGGATAACTCCTCCTGTTCTAGGAGGAACCATTGCAATCTCTTTATCCATCTCCCTCTCATGAGCAATTCGTCCTGCAAAGTCTAAATCATATTTGTTTCTTCTCCTCCTCCCGTCCTTCTCATCATGCATTACCTAGGTTTGAAAATTATATATTTACAAGATTCTGATGCAGTTTAAAACACTGTGTCATTGTGTTCTGATATTGTTTTTTAAAGGTGTTCTTGAAGTAGGAATAACAAATTCAGACACTCTTATAAATCTTTCGATAAAATGAAGTCTGTACAAGGTGTTCCAAAAAAACAAGTGAATTAAATGGCAACTTTTATATTGTCCTTGAATAACACGGTATTGTTTTTCTTGAGCACAATAATAGTAATAATTCATTCAAAATTAAAAATTAAAGGCGATCATAATGTCGTCTCCCATTTTGACTGATCCACCCTGTAGTTCCAATTCCTCCCGAAGTAAATATTCACCTCTGCAATTGCAACAACTTTTCTCCGTTCTATCTCCTCTCTCCGTCCTTCCTCTTTTTCCATGGTTAACCCCACACACTTCTTCTCTCGTTCTCCTCTCTCCTCTATCCTTGCCTTGTCCTGGTTGTTGAGGAACAGTCTTAACTTCTCCTCTTCCCTTCTCCTCACATCCTCCACTTCCTTTTTCCCAACTTTGGTTCCGGGTCTTCCCCATTTTCTTCTTTCCAGTTTATCTTTCATTATAAACGTATTTAAAGGGACTGTAAAGGAAAAATGAAAGGGGATATAGACTGAATTCTAAGCATTTTAGGAGGTAATCGAGACCCATAAGAGTTCTATCCTCTGGGATATCGTCGTTTTCAGATTGGTTGTGTATTTGCTGAATATAATCCGTTTAAAAACCTACTATTTTTATACAAAATTTTATATATAAAGATTTTTGTATAAATTTGACACGGTTTTATATCACTTTTTCGAGACAGGAACATCAGATAGAACTCTTATGGGTCTTTATCAGCTCCTAAAATGCTTCGGTATCAGCCTATGCCCCCTTTCATTTTTCTTTTACAGTCCCTTTAAGCTTGAATGTCACTCAGCCAATCTTAAGCTTTTTATTATATGATTATTTTGATTAAATAATTCAGTCTTTTAAGAATCCTAGCAAGATGCCTGCTTAAACATTAGTCCAGCAAAGTTGAACATTAGTTCAGCAAAAGTAAAACTTTAAAAACTTCTAGTTTTGTTTCTTATATTTTTTAAATCAGAACATTTATAAAGACGTTTTTACCTAAAATTATCTCCAGTTCACCCTAAAAATATATATATATTTCACTCTTTAAAAATATGATTTTAATATTTCAAGATTTAAGTATCTACTCGTCTATTTTTTTACTAACGTAAAATTTCGTGATCGTTTCTCCGTCGCACCATTGAACCAGCTGTCAATTTAGGTTCAATACCTGGTATATAAATTTCTCCGTCCTGTCCATCCCACCGTACATAATTGAGTTTTAACACCTAATATATATTTCTCTGTCTATAATCTTGTCAGTTAAGTTTCAATTCCTGATATATATTTCTCCGTCCTCCCCATCCAATCCCATTTACTTTAGTTTTAATAACTGATATCTATTTATCCGTCCTCCCCATCCAAACATCTCAGTTTAAGTTCAATACCTGATAAATATTTCTCCGTCCTCTCCATCCAACCTTGTCCTCTAGAAGAATCTCGTATATGTACGGAGGACAAGAAACCTAAAAATAGAATAAAAAATGTCATCAAAGTTTGTCAACCATTAACATTAAGACCCCCCCCCCCACAGTTTATGTAATATCGTCTTCAACTTAAATGCTCCTCTCGGAGACAAGAATCCAAACCAAACAATTTCAGCCCGCCTTTCTTCCTTGTTCTCCGATGACGGAGTTAAAACGTTTATCAATTGTGAACCAGTTCAAAGTTAAACAAAACATTTCTATTTAAAGAATTAGTGACCTTCATCAACATTTAATTGACAATCTTTTCAGAAGTTTTAATGTATAAAAAGCGTCTTCGGACTTTTCGACAGATAGCCCCCCGAATATAGGAAAATAGATCGTAAGAATCTTTTCATTATAAATTTGTAAACCCTGTAATAATTATTTATCATCATTCATTTCGTTATTTTTTTAGGAAATAAAGAGTTTTCTGCATTATCGATTTTGATTCGTGGGTTATACCTTGTCTATCTGTTCATCGTCAGAATCTTGTTCCTTAGCGACAACAAAGTTATATCTTTAGACTTAAATGTTGTAGACCTTATTTATTTCAAACTTTAATTTCGGTTAGTTCGAGTAATCAAAGTTTGAAATACCAAAGGTTTACACCTTCAGGTTTACAAGATATAGAGATTAGAAAATCTAATTTTGTGTCAAAGTTCTTTATTAAATTGTAAATTATATGATATGAATATAGCTGTACAAAACGTCACTAAAATATTTTATAAAAATGTTTTGATGATTATTTTCTTTTTATTTATTATTATCATATATATTTATATAAATATATATATAAGGTAGATAATCTAATATTCCTTTGAATAGTGAGAATATATTCTCCGGATAAATATATTAGTTTTGTTTTCCTTTACAATAAGACAACAGTAGTCCCTTCACACTGCTCTCATCTGACATCAAGTCAAACTAAAGTAAGTTGGGGCCATGATTGAAATCTTATATATTTTTTAATCATTACATAATTCTCTTATTGAAGAGCTATTAAGAAAAACAAAGATGTTTTTGATATCTTACATGTGCTCAGATAAAGAAATTAAGTCTTTGTCACAAACGCACATTTTTGAATCCATATATCTGTGCAACCTGGCGGTTTAAACCTTTGATATTTCAAGCTTAGATTATTTGATTTTACAGAATTAATCGTTTGAAATATCTAAGGTCTCCGACAATGGGGTCACAATAATATAAGGATAAAAAAATCAGAGTTTGTGACAAAAACTCAATTCCTTTGGTTTTCTCATACTTCTATGAATATATTTGACCTTCTCATTCTGTCTAGTTTGCAGAGAATATTAAAATATTATTATTTTATTATATATATATATATATATATATATATATATAGATTTTAGTATAAATTTTACACAGCTTTATATCAATTTCTCTAGTCAGGAACATCAGATAGAACTCTTTTGGGTCTCGATCAAGATTCTAAATGGATAAAAAGTCGGAAAATTTGGAGCAAAACAAACAGTTTCAGTAGAGGATAGGTTTGCATTAATGCAGCTGCAATGTTAGATCAATAAAAGGTCAATAATAAATCAATTCATACCATTGATGAATGATAAGTCAATGTTAGATCTTGATGATATATTAATTCAAATCAATGATAAATCAATGTTATATATCACTGATAGATCGGTTAGAACGGTGTTAAGTCAATGATAGATCAATAATAATCTGTTATTTTAATTAATCTATGATTTCAACTAATTTTTAACTACACCATCAACATATGTAATATGTAACATGTATGTATATCAATGTGTATGAATAAATATTTAGTAATAATAACAAAGCAATTTTATATCATAATGATAAATGATAAATCAATACATCAATAATAGAACGATTCAAATCAATGTTATATCAATGATAGATTAATAGATTAGTGTTCGATCAATTTCATAGATCAATGTTAGAACTATTGTTAGATCAATGAAAGATCAATAATAAAACAATATTAGACTAGAAAGATCAATAATAAATGAAAAATAAATGAATTTTTAGATCAATGTTAGATCAATGATAGATCAATGATAGATTAATAATAAATCAATAATTGATCAATAACAGATTAATAATAAATCAATGATAGAACAAAAATAGATCAATGATAGATCAATAGTAGATCAATGATAGATCAATAATTATTCAACGATATATCAATAATTATTCAATGATAGATCAATTATTAATCAATGTTAGATCAATGATAGATCAATGATATATATATTTCTATTGTAGAGTGATAAATCCTGATAAAATAGTAAAATCTGTTTATATCCTAACATCTAAATGGTTTCCCGGATTCTGAAAGAGCTTTGATCATTTGTCAAATGTTGAATAAAGATAAAATATAGAATTCTATAGTTCTAACACTGTAACTTCTTTAACTTCTCTAACTTAACTTCTCTTCACTGAAGAAAATGAAGTATTTCTTTTCTATAATTTGTTATTACTTTCATGACTTATATTCAACAAAGAATTGTTGCATTGAATCTTAAATATATACCCATCTTGTCAATTTAAAAATTTTAATAACCTTTAAAAATAAGCTTGTTTAGATATAAATCAATATTGGCTAAAGTCGTGCTTAAAATTAGATATAATTTCGTTTTAACTTAAGGGACTGTAGACGTAATTTCAAGGGAACCAACATTAGTAGAGCGGCACGTCTGGTTCACTGCGGTACCCTCGAGACCTTTAATTAAGATCAATGTTTGACAAAAACCATATCTGGAGATATAAACTTTACTTTGCAACAAAAATCCCTAATTACTCTAAATAAATTCTTCCTAACTCTCCAGAGCCGCGGCTTAAATCCTCCAAAACCCGGTTTAAATTAAGCGTCGGCTTAAATCTTGAAACATTTGATACAATTTTAAGTGGAACCAATCATATTTAAGCCACGGCTTAAATTTAAGCCGCCGCTCAAATTCTTTAAATTCGGCCTCAGGTATGGGTAAAATACTATACCTTGAGATATACGTCCGTCTGTGTTAAATGAAGGTTCTCCGTCCTGACTCCAGGTATGCGTAAACTAATCCTAATTGTGGCTTCGGTCTCACTCCAGTCATTTTCATTGAGATAGATAGGCATTATTTATATATGTCTATATATATAAATATATTTGTGGAATAAAAGAGAAAATAAACCTACACAGAGAAGCCAAACTCTGTAGATGAATTGTATCTGTCCTAATTTTAAAGGTATAGGTCTGAAAATTATAAACAATAATTAGAATTTAATTAAATAAACTGATTTGAACTGGAAAAAAATTCTGGAGACTAAGAATGTTTTAAAATAATTTCTTTTGTTAATACTTGTTATTGGTTTTAAATATTTACGAAAGCAATCGCTTTCGGATAGTTCTTGATTAAAAAGCAAATATTTCAAGTAGAAAATTTGGGACTTGTACTCTTATTTCTTTTACTTTCTACAGAACTCCAAACATGTTTGGAATTATCTTGTAATATTACGACTCTGCATACAATACAGTTTACATTGTACAGCTAATACTATGATAGAATGGTGATACATTGTAAATACATTATTGATCAAACTGCGCTTATCATCATAGAGATTCTGCTTTCTATTTTAGGGTTTATATAGATGATATTAAATGAGATATGCATGGTTACCCTCAAAATGATGGGACTTTTTTGACGACAAAAACTCTTTAAATATGACGATGATCAGGATGATAGATTTGGTTTACTGCCTCAATATAATATTTTAATGGTTTTCTAAATTGTTTGGTAAAGAAGGAAGCTTGTTTACAACTGAATATAAGAAACAGGGTTCAATGAATTCCGTACAGTCGTCTCTGATGTCGCATCTTTTTGTGTGTAACTCAGTATTCACAAAAAATTAATTCCATTTAAAATTGTGAATTTTTACTTTATCTGTTTTCTGAACTCTTTCACAAAATTAATCAGCGGCTTAAAATTGTTAAAATAACACGATAACTTGTAAAAATAGTTTTTATCGCGAGATTTTTTTAGAATATGATTATCAAAATTTAAATCTATTCATCGTATTTTTATCTCTCTGTCATTGAAAAATTTTGCTATTGACAGTGAAACCTATAGAACTGAAATAGGAAGGAGACTTTAAGACGCAAGTTATGATTTCAAATAGTCCATTGAACTTTAAATATAGAAATTGTGCAGTGCACACAGACTCATTTTACATCACAATTTGATTTTCAAGATAATATTAAACTATTTGCTTGATAACATCATCTGTAATGCACATAAGATTGATCAAAATTCATATTCTTATCTATGATACAGTTACCTTCTTTCTTTTTCTTATTATATATCTATCTCTTCTCTCTGGCTTACTATATATAATCTCTAAATGGTTTTATTATATATCAATGTCCTCTATATCTATCCATTACAGGACAGTAATTGCATCTATAATAGCCTCTAATATATAAGACAATAATGTTTAATAACGGTACAATATGCAAGAAAATATAATACATATTTTCTTTCTTCTTCGGTACGCGGTACTAACTAGAGATTACTATGTCCGGACTGTGTCAAAAGAAACTAGTCATTTAAAATCCATTAAACTAAATATTGAAGAATATCGCAAATAATAAAAAAAAATTTAAATCACGCGAAATTAACAAGAGCTTAGTTTGTCGTGGGTATATCGGATAAACGTTAATATCCACGCACGTTAATATTTAAAACGCACATTGCCCAATAAAAATAAAAAATAGAAATTTAAAAAAAATAAGCATTTAATGAGGGGAAAAGGGCTTGAAAGTAAAGGCTAACTTGAAAATATAACCAAGAAATCACATGATCTACATTGATTGGATTAAAATGGTTTCAAACTGTTACAATCAAATCTTGACATGTTAGCCACCGTGAAATCTAAATTGTGAATGTAATGTATAAAACGATACAAACATTAAATTTAAATTTTGAATAATTTCCCGCCAAATTGCTCTCAGATTAAGTAATAATTGAGCTGTAATGTAAACTAAATATTATATATTACATAACATTTTTATCTAGCTGTCTATATATTTTGGTGTTTGTCCTAAATATTAAATTTGAAGAAAATAAAGGTTCAGTATAGGATGGTATTGTACAGACGTAATTTCAGGTGATCCTCCATTTTATATAGTGGCATGTAAGATTCACAAAGAAACCTGACCTTTCAGTCTTTGTCTGTTCAAGGTTGAATGAGATATCCGTATTTTGGTTTTATAAAAAAATTACTTGCGGAGTCAAGCTGCAGAAATGATATTAAAATTCAACACATTTTAAATGTAAAAAGAACGATATTGTTATTCCGATTAAGGATATCGTTGTGAATCGGACACACCACTCTATAAATGAAAGGTTACTTAAAATTAAGTGGAAAGTCCCTTTAAGATTGTAAACTCACTCAGGATGAGAAAAGAATAGTAAATATTATTCTTCATTTTTTCTAAATAATTTTAAACTTACTTTTATCGTGATTCAATCTCTTTTGACATTTTTAAGGTCATGACAAACCAATAAGACGAATTTTAGTTGTAGGTCGTCATTAAATTCTCATATTGCATCTTTAATTAAGATAAAATAGTACGAAAACCTTTACTGTGGGTTCAATGTACGTATAGAGCGGAGTTTTTTTGTTTAAAGTGCAACCAAACAACTTTCCGAGGACAAAATAAGTATTTTTTCAAATCTCCATTTTTTATGTAACCCCTAAATATTTCTTCTCATATCTTCTATTTTAAAATTTCACACTTTTTATCTCTTCATGTCTCTTTATCTCTATGTAAGAATATCTATCGTTATCCATATATCTATATATTTATCCATCTATCTATCTATCCCCGCCTAACTGTTGAGTATCAGGTTGAGAAGATGAATCTGGGTATACGGGGAGTAAAGAATGGGTATTTGGCGTGACAGGAGTCCTGTTCATGGTCAGGCAGTTAGAACCAACCAGTCTAACCAGGCATGAAAGATGGTAATGACTCATACTTTACAGTGGTTCCCTCGTCCCATGGTATTGATCCCGTCAGCTAACGGAGCTCTCCTATTGGTTGGTTTCGGAGAATTCCCCTCCTCTGTTTGGTCGGAGAAGAGGATCCCTTGGGAGGCTTTCCCCGTCTTAGTGAAGATCCAGGCAGTGAGAAGATGACCGTGTTGAAAGAAGGGAAGATACTAAGTATGTTTACAAGAAGAAGAGTTGAGAGAATCGGATCAGATTTAAACTGTTCCTAGCTCTAGAGTGTAGTCTCACTATAAAACATTAACTTCAATCAACTCTTAGTTAGTGATGAGTCATACCAGGAGTAGAACGTTCAAACAACAAGTTTTCGAAACTGCGTTCGTTAGCAGTCGGTTCAGCTCTACGGAGGACCTAGATGAGGTTGACAGGATCGCAAACCATCCTCTCCTTCAGCAAAATCGTCTCAGGAAGTCCAGGTCCGCTATGGGAGGGTCTGTGGACCGGGGGGTCTCAGCATTCTTAGAGAGAACTAGTCCAGGTCCAGTTAACACTCGGATGTCCAGGTCGACAACCCTACACCTATCTACTGTATCTGCTACAGCTAGTCCCTCCCAGGATACATGGAGCTTTCCGTTCCGTCCTAGATCTGCTTTTACAAGAATAATGCGTCTTACAAAACCACGCAGCTGTGACAATATCCTAGAGCAAACGTCCCCGGCTCAACTTAAAAAGAACCATTCCAGGTCTGTGAATAATATTCTTCGTGATAAACGTGGTGACTGTGACTCACCGATTACTCAGACCAGGGATAAGGTTTCACCATATCAGTTTTCATCATCACACAGTGTCAATATTAGCAAGAACTGTTCACAGGTCTCCGGAAATAGTTTAGAAAGGTCCGAGAAACCTATAAATCAGTTTACAGAAACTATTCGTAGTGATAATCTAGTTCCTAGTCCTTCCACAGTTTCAAGGAAGAGTTCAATATACTCCAGTCCTGCTTTATTAACTCAAAGGAAAGTGCGGACTGCTCCAACAATAAATTCTCCTTTGTCCGTAAAAGTTAAATCAAACTTTTCTCCAGATTCTTTATTACACAGCGGTAAATCAACTCCTTTGGAACCTGGAGTATCGTGGCAGGGTTCGCCGGAGCTAGGTTTGCCCCAGGGTTCAAGAACTCCGGATAAATCCTTGTGCCGGGTTCAGGTAGATCTCCATAGTCCTAGGTTTGGTTCTCCCAGGGGAGCAGTTCAACGCAAACCTAATCTATCCTGTCAGCCTGGTTTCCCTACTCCTCCAAGCACTGCTCCGACCCAGAAGAAAATAATGGGATCCACCGCTCTAGCTGAACCGTCAAATAAATTTGATTTCACGGCCAGGTTCGCTTCAGAGAGTAATGTATCTCAGCTAGCTGAACTCCGTCAGAGCAGCAGTGCTGAAAGTACTCCACAGAAAAATCAGGTTATCCGTTCCCGTCTCCGTCCTCGTCGTAGACTAGAACTACAGCTTAGGACGAGAAGATATCAGAGTTCCTCCTCATCATCTTGCCTCTCCAGCTGGGAATCATTGGACAGTAACACCAGCAGTCAGGGGTAAATATTTTCAGTTTAAAGGGACTGTGCTTGTATTTTAATTGATCTTCTATTTAAACAGTGTCATACTCGATTAACAAGATATAAAGATAATCATGGACTGCTTTATCCATCTTGATAAGAAAAATCGGAAAATGAATCGGAAATGTCACTTTTTAAATGGAAGATCACTTAAAATTACGTTTATAGTCCCTTTAACTATCTTCCAATCTATCTATCCTTGATTCTGGGGAATATTTCTATGAACTATATACTACGGTTGGGTTGAAAGAATGCTCTTAGTCCTTTCATGTGAACTCTGATTCAACTGAAAAGTTTAAATTCTAAACTCAGCAACAAAATATTTAAATTTAGTTTACATAAACCTGGGGTTCAAACTATCTCTGCAGCAGTTCACAACTACTCTTTATTTTGTGTCAAAAGAATCCTAACTTTAGAAAACCTTGAATGCATAATTCAGTTTTTTATACTCAAGTCTAAGAAGCATAGAGATACTTAAAGTTTACATAGATTTTTAATTAGGGAAAACACAATACGTTTGATCTCGTTAAAAAACATAAGATTTTTTACTACATTAGGCTTAAAAAAACTGCAATAAATCTGAAGATTATTTTTATTTTTAGCAAACTATATTTAAAACTGAATACATGATTTAGATGTGCAGAGAGGTTTAAGCTATCTGCATTTATTTAAGTAAAATGCATACATTAGAGACTTTAGAGTTAAGAATGAGGAAGGTTCATAAAATTTATAACTACTTTATGCCTTTGTTAATTGCACTATTGACTTAAATATGATTTTTAAAATATTAAAACTGCGAAAAAGTTGTGTTATATTTCAGAGGAAACCACATAAATAAAACTGAAAAAATTATATAAAAACTGAGAAAATGTAATACATTTTTTCGGATTTAATTGATTTGATATAAACTTCAACAAATATAAAAAGGCAATTGATCAGGTCATAATGCACTAAAAAGAGCAAATTTACTAAATTGGATTATGTTTATTTTTTTTTAAGATATGGATTAAATAAGATAATACTGGATTAAACTTGATCGAACTGCGAAGGAGCTTTTGATTTAAAAAAATTCCGGAATTACATTTTATTGAACTAAATCAAACTGTACTTTCCGGGATTTGGTTTCATTAAGAAACTGTTTTAGATTGTATTTTCTGAATTTACTAAAACCTGGATGAATTATTTTGTAAGAAATTGGATCAAAATGTTTTTTTTTCTCTGAATTATGCTGTAAGAAACTGGACTAATCCAATCATCCGGTATTATATTTGACAAATAACTATAAGCGTAAAGGAATTATGTTGCATAAAACTTGATAAGACTGTTCTTTTTTCGGGATTGTTATGTTATCCCATAAATATATCCCATTCCAGTTTTTTCCAACTCAATTCTGAGAATTACAGTCTAATCAAGTGTCTTACAACATCATCCCGAATAATATCGTTTTGTACAGTTTCTTAGAACGTAATCTTAAATGTATGTTGTAAGAAACTGGGTTAAACTGTATTTCTCGGGGTTGGACCGGGAAAAAACTGGATGGATTGGGTTATATGGGATTATATAGTCAAATACTGATTTAGCTGGATTGCGTTGTAAGAACCGGGATTGTCCAAGATTACAAGAGAGTTATAAATCTAATAATAAACTGGATCAAACTGCTTTAAACCAGATTAGACCTGACAACACCGGCAAAACGTTTAGGCCTTGTCTCAATCTTCTGTTCAGACATGCAACACAAAATTATTTTTTTTAAATTTTTGAATCCTTTTTATTTTCAGATACGGTAGCGAGTCCAGCAGTGTACATGAGGAGACAAAATTAAGGAAGATTGCAAACCTAAATATTCTCTCTCCGATCTCAGATAAATCTGGGGAGCAGGTATCCCCTTCCTCGGATAAGGAGACAGACCCAAATGCTAACCCGCCCTATCAGGGTCGTCTTGACAACAAGGACCATGAGAGCGAGGGCTATAAACCAGGCAAGAAGAGAAACCTAAATCTTAATCTCAACCTAGAGAACTCTTCTTGTGAGAACGTATCTTCTTTGAAGAGTCTTCGAACCCCAGATATCCAGCAGTATCTGAATGTACCCTGGGATATGCCGAAGTTAAAGAAGAAATTACAAAACCGTCGGAAGTTTTGTTTTAGCGGTGAAACCAGTAGCCCGGAAAACTCACCCAAGAAGTCTAGTATGCCAAAGAGTCCTGATGTAGATCTGATATTCCAGAAGGACTGGTTGAAGAAGAACAATAATGAGGATATTATGTCAACCTCAGATGAGAACTCCGAACTCTACTCTAGTGATAAAATTAATCCCGGTGAAAAAGTTTCAAAGAATAAGCGCTTTTTTAATCGAAATAGTATTAGTTTATCCGCCAAGGTTCAGGGTTCCGACTCCGGGATCTCTATGAGCTCACAAGAAATGAAAGAGCTCCTGGATGTCCCCTGGAGTATGCCAAAGTTAAAGAGAAACGCCTGGATCCGGACAAATCCAACCCCGGGATATGATTTGTCTCGACACGGACGGGTTAATGATTCTCCAAGTAGGACTGATCAAATTAACTTGGTTCACGCTGACTCTTTTAGTTTACAAACCAAAGATAAACCTAGTCCAACAGATGTTAACAAGGAAAATATTGAAAGTGAGCCTAATCCCGATATTAAGGATGAAAAAAAGTTTCAAGATTTGTCAGATCTTCCATTCTCAATTCCAAAATTAGAAAGAAAACTGAGAGAACAGAATGCGTCCAGCTCCAGTCTGGAGATTTCTAAACCTAGTATTAGTATCCGTCCTCTCTCCCTGTTCGTCCCTGTACCTGATTCAAACCCTGATCATGATCCATCGATATTTATAAATTCTGGAATAAATTTGAGAAATCAGGATGTTGGGACAAATCCTGGCTCTCCACACTTCTCATCCGAACCTTTATCTAAACCTTCACTGAAACCTCTCTCATTAAACCTATCCGGACCCAGTAGAGGTAACATTAAACCTTGATTCTCATTTTTTATTCACACTTTTAGTTTTCTCTTTATATTTCTTTTTTAGTCCCATTTTCATTTTTTTCAACTTTTGCATTTTCCAGAATTCTTCGTTGTATGACTACATATTTAATTTGTATCATAATTAGACTTTTTATACTTTTCTTTTTGAAAAATTGACAGATAATTGCAAAGTTTATATTAATAATTTCAAATTAATTGTTATCTGTTTTTATATTCTTTCAATTTCCCTCCCTTCTTTTCTATTCAACTCCTTTGTTCTGAGTTTATAATTAGGTGGAATATCCTTACTTACATAGTATAATTATAATATATCCAGCTAATTTATATTCAATTAATGGAAGCTTAATAAGATTACCCTACCTTCATACAAACAATACTTACACGACTCAACACTTTTACACTAAAGCCTAAAAACCTCGGATACATAATTACTATTCCCTTTGTTTAGATATATTAAAAGAAATCTTTTTTATCCTTTAACCATACTTCTCCGGGATAAGGACAGAACTTAATTCCTAAAGACGTTTCACAAAATCAAATTACAATTAGAATTACATTTTTCTTTACTGATTGTAATATTTCCTATCTATGTATATTGTAAATACTAAATATATAGCTATTAATCAGTGTCTATCCAACCAATATACCACAACAATGGAACACTGATATATACTCTTTGTAGGACAAAATACTACCTATGTGAGGTTTTATCCTATTATTAATTCCCAGATTTTTAGGTGCAACACAAATGTTAAACTAATATTTTTTTTCGAATATCTTTGTACAATGTAAATATTTACATATCTGTTTGTTTCTCTGTGTATATCCTGATATCCCCTTAGCTTTGCTTTTAATTTCATCAGTGTTCTCATATTAACAGTTACTGTTACTCTCCCATATCCAGCACATTGAGAAAACCAATCCCATCCACTCTCCAGACTCTTACAATGTAACATATATGGCTGTAAATATCAAATATCCCCCCCCCCCTTCAAACATTACCAATCCTTATCCCCCCCCCTCATTTTTCCCTCGATAAGTACACAGAAAGAAATCTCTCTAAGTACACATTGCCTGATCAAACCCCTAGTTCCAATAATTTTACGACTTTTGCTAAATTTCGAACTTTCTCGCATGTGCAAATTATTTCAAATTATTTAAGTTACTTTAGTTTTATCATAGTATATGTGAAAGAATTGCACCAAACTCTCCCATCTTTCCGATTATTCTTCCGATATTAATTTGTTGGGAAATTTTAACTTGAAACTTTTGTCTTCCGAACAATTGTAGCTGGTCTCCTAATATTTATTTTGGCAAAGAAGGCAAAAAAATCTTTAAAATGAAAACCTGCGGTCGCAGTTTTCCAGGTTTTTTTTTAGGAAATTCTTTTAATTAAAAGCTTTTAAAGTTGTTGACAGTTGTTTTAGTTAATAAAGGATTCCTGTTGTAGATTAATCATGAGATCACAATGGAAGCAATTATGCTAAAGCATTTATACGTTTAAAAGTATCATACGTCCTAGGCTTACTGCCCCCCCCCCCCCCCCCCCGAAGACGACTACATGTTTTCGGATAAACAGAACTTGTAGGTTTTCTTTCTCTCAACTCTGCTGAGAAAATGAAGGAAAAAGAGAAAAATATTGTTCAGTAAAAACATCCATCCTCCTCCTCCTGATGCCACGGTTACTTCTTGCAGTAGAATCTGCCAGAATCATTTAATTATAATTCATCTCTCTTTCATTATCCATCATTTATCTCTCTTTCATCCATCATTCATCTCTCTTTCATCCATCATTCATCTCTCTTTCATCATCCATCATTTATTTCTCTTTCATCCATCATTCATCTCTCTTTCATCCATCATTTATCTCTCTTTCATCCATCATTTATCTCTCTTTCATCCATCATTTATCTCCAGTCAAATATTCCAGACATTTATTAAACAAAATATCCTTCAAACTTTGCTAGTTTATTGAGCGATTTATTTATTTTTGTGTGTTTTTCTCTCTTATTTGCGTACTTATTAGTACATTTTCAATGTGCGTCCTATAGTAGTGCATTCTCAATGAACGTCCTTACTTGTGCATTTTCCATGTGCGTCCTCGATAGTACATTCTCAATGTGCGTCCTCAATGTGCAATGTGCTGCGTCCTTTTTATTATTGCACCTGTCTCATTAATAATAATTAGTGCGTTGCGTCCAATTAAGTTATAAGCGCGTCCTCTTCTTCAACAGTTAAACTCTAAATAAGCCGTACATCGAATGAATTTATCAAATGTCGTCTTGACAATTTTTCAATGGGGTTTTTACTATTTTACGTAGATCTCAGTATTTGCGAAAAAAAATAAATTTCCATGAATATGCGGGAACAGTTTTAAAGAGCTCCAAATAATTATTTAATCAAAATACTAAATATCTGCAGCATTCCAATCTCAGAAAGTGATGTATGGTTTATTTAGGGTTAAACTGTATAATGCTGCTAAATGTCCCCTGCTAATTCAAGTTTATCTACTCTACATTCATTATACCAACTGAAGTTGGTATAAATAAAAACATCTTTTCACACTTAATTAGATAAAAATACCTTTCGGTTAGATCAAAAAATAATAAATTGTTTTTAGATAAAACTCAGTTTTCTCTTTCTCTGGGACTGGGATGCAATGATGGTGCTGGAGGAGGAGGAGGAGAAGGACGAGGTGGGATCTCCAGGAGACGTCCAGGTCTCTCCTTTATCCCCCATTTGAACCTGGCAAATAGTGTTCTAGTTGATGTTGATCTACCCCTAGAGAGACAAGAGTAAGTATTCAAACTAAATATATACAGTGATAGCCAGAAAACTTTTGAATAGGAAGTCGACTTTTAGACTCAAGTTATGACTTTAAATAACCTAATGCACATGAAATACGATAATTGTGCAGTATAATCAGAGTTCAGATCCATTTTCCTTAATATATGATTTAATAATTTTCTAGTAAAGCTATTTGCTTTGGAACATTTGCGTTGTAACAACATAAAATGAACTTCACTATTGCTTTAATGTCGTCTTCCTGTTTTTTGTTTATCACTGTATAATTTTATTCCTGGAGATCAAGGGAATATTCATGTGCATGGTTTCTGTTTTGATGCAAGTTTCGTATGCTGAAAATGTATTCGAAAACGTTTGGAATCTTAGTCCCGGAAAGCTTTTTAGATAAAAACTTAATAAAAGATTTATTAGGTGGTATCATGGTATCCTGAGCAAGACAGAAGTTGAAAATATTCTACGGACGAGGGCGGAGGGTAGCTACCTAGTCAAAGCAAAGGCCGGAGATGGCGAATATTCCTTGGCGATTAAATCCGCCAAGGGTTTTATACACATGAGATTAAGTCGAGGATGCGGAGGAGGGTTCAGATTGGGAGAGGAGGAGAGAGAATTTAATAGTGTTGTTGAGATGGTTAAACACTACTCATTAAACAGGTTAGATATTCTGAGGAACCACCGATTACTTGACTCAAACTCTAATTTTATAATCCTTGCTTCTTTACAGCCTGATTTCGTAGAACTTTGATATCACGATAAAACCAAGTAGCCAGAGTTTGAAATATCAAAGGTTTTCATCATAAGGTTGCAAAGATATAGCGATTAGAACATTTGAGGTTAAGGCGAATAATCAGTTTCTTTACCTAAAGTCAATACAATTCTTGAATAAAGATATCTTATTAGCTTTTATTAGTCCGGTCTTTAGTTGGTTAATGTGTAAAGAACTATTTTGCAATGAAATGAAAATAGTCGCCATTGCTTTCTAATTTAATCATTGAGTTACCAAAATCTATGAAAAATTCCTTTAGTCTACATAATAAAGCTCTTTGCTTAATGCTCATATATATATTTAATTATTTCTTTAAAGAATCAGTTTCAAATTAAAACAAATTAAAACAATATATTTCGGAATCTCTTTATACATTATTTTTTATTTATATATTGACAATGGTTCCATTGAATACCTTTATCTAATCAAAAATGTGGAAGATATTGCTGTTTTTATAGGTTAAAGTGTTTATTTCTGAGTATCCTGAAGAATGCCTAGCATAAAATATGATGTTGACACAATAAAACTTCAAATCATATTTTAGATACGCATTTTCTTTTATATATATTATATACTAGCTTGGGAACCCAGCGTTGCCCAGTGGAGTTATAGTTAGTCCCACAGTTTACCTGCTCTTTGTCTTAAATTACGATTTTAGCTATTTAAAATCTGAAAACCAAGCTAAGAACATTCCCGTCGTTCTCCCAAGTTTTTCAATCAAAATTTGAGGCCAATAGGTATACGGGTTCCTAAGTTATGATCGGACAAACAAACAGACAGACAAACAGAGGTTACAACTTTATATATAGATATATGTTAGCTTTAGTTGTCCAAACGGCAAACCAAATTGGCAGAATTTTTTTCTTTCAAAAATAGAATTTTTTTTTCAAAATTATAATTTTTAAATGTTTTGAAAATTTTTCGGGCAACGCCGGGCACTTTAATCTAGTATCTTAAATCTTTAATAATACAATTTCCAGAGATCTAGAATCTCAAGAATTCAGATGGAATTTTTAAGTATTTTCCGAGCATGGAATGAAGAAAAATGATAGATAATTGAGAAAAGTTTGCTAGAAATAAATGTTTATTCTGTCCCTAGAGAATATGTTGTATGCTGGAAAACTAGGATTGAACTCCCTCCTAGATGGGATAAATCACATTGAATTAATGTCAACCGCACAGTTATACACTCTTTCAACAATTCAAACAGAAAATTCAAAATAAAAATAAAGTTCGAAATTTTTTTTAATTTCCCAAGAAGACTCGATTATGAATAAGTAGCGACCAAAAAATCAAGTTTAAAAAACGAATAATGTTTATCTCTACGTGCTTCACTATGAGAGGGAACAAGACCCCAAATCTGTTCTATCCATAGCGCTATTTGTCATCGGTGCAACGTTAATTCCGTCATCCTTTGTAACATTCAATTTCATTTTTTTGGTATTTTTGTAATTATGCATAGATTATGTGTATTAATATGATGATTTGATTTGAATTTTTTAAGTTTTTGCCACAAACTCAAATTTTCAAATCCCTAAGGCTTTGCAATGACATTGAGTTGCTAAGATATCGAGAATAAAAATCAGAGTTAGTGGTAAAACCTCAATTCCTTCAAAATATTTTTATTTTAGGTTGCCAATAAAAGGGGCGGAACATCTCTGTCTTATTACTCCGGCCACGGAAGAGTTACTCTAAGAATAGAATTCATCTATACATCAACCTACCCTGAGCAAGATTTAGTTATAAACCTACCCTGATAAAAGATAACTAGTTTTGAACCTACACTGAATCGGATACACATACAAGCTCACTAGTACTGTACTTACTCTTGTACAAGACCCCCTAGTTCTAAACCTACCCTGGTACAAGACCCCTAGTTCTAAACCTACCTTGATACAAGACCCCTAGTTCTAAACCTACCCAGATACAATACCCCTAGTTCTAAACCTACTCTGATACAAGTCCCCTAGTTCTAAACCTACCCTGATACAAGACCCCTAGTTCTAAACCTACTCTGATACAAGACCCCTAGTTCTAAACCTACCCTGATACAAGACCCCTAGTTCTGAACCTATACTCTGATACAAGACCCCTAGTTCTAAACCTACTCTGATACAAGACCCCTAGTTCTAAATCTATACTCTGGTATACAAGATCCTTGGTTTAAACATACTCTAATACAAGACCCCTAACTCTAAACCTGTACTCTGGTACAAGACCCCTAGTTCTAAACCTACCCTGATACAAGACCCCTAGTTCTAAACCTGCCCTGATACAATACCCCTAGTTTTAAACTTACTCTGATACAGGACCCCTAGTTCTAAACCTATACTCTGATACAAGACCCCTAGTTCTAAACCTACTCTGATACAGGACCCCAAGTTCTAAACCTATACTCTGGTACAAGACCCCTAGTTCTAAACCTATACTCTGGTACAAGATCCCTATTTCTAAACCTACTCTTATACAGGACCCCTAGTTCTAAACCTATACTCTGGTACAAGATCCCTTTTTCTAAACCTACTCTGATACAAGACCCCTATTCTAAACCTATACTCTGGTACCCCTAGTTCTAAACCTATACTCTGGTACAAGATCCCTTTTTCTAAACCTACTCTGATACAAGATCCCTATTCTAAACCTATGCTCTGATACAAGCTTACCAACAATTCCAAACCTATGCTATTCAGATGTAGATATGTAGGTTTGAATCTAGATCAAGATTTTAAAAAACTGATATTGTCTCCATTAGATCTAACATTAATTATAAAAACAAATGTGGTATTATCCTTTAAAAATTTTTTTTTCAGAGCATTGGTATCGTGCAATACAGTGAGACCAATAAAACCCCATTTCACTCGATAAGTTGATTTTCAAGCTGTTGGTAAAAGTATTTGCTTTAAAACAACGTGGGATAAACGCAAAAACGATTAAATGTCGTTTTCCTATTCAACAGTTTTATGGTCTTCACTGTATGTCTCATACTTTATGACAGATTTTGAATACAAAATAAAAGTAAAAGACAACGAAGACGACTTTTGCCAAAGTTAAAGTTCTATGAAAGAGCAGCTTAAGATATTATAAGGATGTGAAACTTCTGAAACAATTAACGACGACCTTTGCTCTACTCTGGTCAAAAAAAACAAATATTTATTTATTTATTCATCTATTTATTTTTTGCATCAGCTGATAAATCATAAACTTAATAATACTCATAATATATGTCCATTGTCCAGTGTTCATGTAGAACGGAAAACATAGATTTTTAAAATTAAATAAAGTATAGAAATTACGTTTCCATTTATTAACTTTCTGTTTGTGAAAATTAGCCTGAAATTATAGATTAGGGCCCGGATGGGTAAAATAGGTAAAAAATAAGACTTTAGAACGACCAGAAATTCTTTCAATAGAACGATCGGAATGTTGAATTCAAGTTTATTTGCAATTCAAATCAAGGAAATAATTTGCCAATAAAAAAGTTGATAAATAAAATTCATAAAAATCTGTAAACATGTCCCCACGAAGTCCTATACTTCTCTAATTAGGGGAGACATAACTATTTGGAAACTGAAGTCTAATGATTTAATAAAGATTGTTAGGTTTAAACAATATTGAAACTTTCATGATCGAATATGAAAAAGCATAATTTTAAACCAAAACACAATGTTTTCTGTAGTTTGGACAAGAGATGAGATTACTAGAAAAGCCCTTAAGTTAGATGTAGGTCCGCTAACGAACGGCAAAATTCGTTATTTTTGAAATCGTTAACAAACAAAAATAGCCGATATTTAAAAAAAATTAACGGTAAATAAAGAATAACGACTGGCAACGTTGGCGATTACTGAAATATATTCCGTTAGCGCCATGACTGAAATCAACGAACGGTAACTAACTAAAAATGACTGAAAATACCTCTAACGAACGGAACATTCCATTTCAAGGTCCGTTACCTATAAAGTTTTTTTTACGATTTGAACCCACCGTTAACGATATGGATTTTAAAAAACCATGGAAGAATTAAAGAAATAGAAAAGAGAAAACAGAATCTACAGCTTCATAAGCAAGACGAAAATATTTATGGCATTTTTCCCGATGGAAGCTGCAACAGACATTGTTTTAATTTTTAATTAAAAAGTCCAATAAAACATTTCAAAATAAGAGTTGAAAACGACTTTTGTTCTTATAATCCTCAATTACTATGTGATTCCGAGGGAGATTCAGAGAGTTAAAGTTTTGTGCTTTTTAGTGTAAAAATTCCTACTAATTTTACATTTAGTATTCATATAACAAGATTTTACATAAAGTATATAACAAGAAAATTATGATTGCTGTCTTCATTATTTCTTTTAATGAAAAAATAGGAAAACATATCGCTACAGGATTGCGTAATTTCTAATTATTATACCTGATAGATGTTTAAAAATGTTCAGGGCGCATTTTAAAAAAAATAGTAAAAAATTTAAAAGTTAAAACCAGAAAATAGTGAACTTCTTGTTTTTTTTAATTATGAAATATCGCTAAGGATTTTGCAGTTTGCCACGGAACTGTTAAAGATAAACTGTGAAAACCTGAAAATTGTGAAATATAAACTTGAAGACGAAATTTATTATTTTAAAAGTCCAATAAACATGAAATAAAGGAACTTTGTTGTGGGCTTTGTGGGCAATTGACCATTTTACTTTGAGAAGAGATTTTTCAGGTACTATTTCCTTTTTAACAACAAAAATTTGCACCTAAATTTTGCTTTGATGTTGTCTTCCTATAACACCGTTTTTATTTTAACTGTAATAGGCTTTTAGGTCACTTCGCGCCCAATGCTCATCTTCTATTTCAACTTTTAATTGTGGCTATCTGTGAGCGGCTTTAACCTTAAGCATCTTCTCTACAGTATAAAAAAAGAAATAAAGTTTGCGGATTTCGTAATGTTTTTTTGCGCATTTTCAAAATTTTTGAAATTTTGATCATGCTTAAACCTTCCCTGGGGTCAAGTAATGTCCCACACAAAATTTAGTCCTAATCGGTTCAGCCGTTTTGACGTTTATTGGATACAAACAGACAAACAAACACCAAGACAAACTAAATTTATATATAGATTAGTTGTAACTATTTCAAGTTACAAAATCCTTTAAGCGACATTTATGAAGTAAAAGAAAGGACAAAGACGACATTTATTCTTTTTCTTCAAATCTTTCTTATTGATTGAGAGAAATACTTTATTTTCATTGTAGACCTCCACATCACTATAGTTTCAGTTAAAGTAAATATTTTCATTTACTAAAAGCGCCGATTGAAGGATTCATAACTCTGATCGATTGGATAATGATATAGATAGAAAGATAGATGTTACCGCCATACTATTTCTATTGGTTCAAAATAGACAACTGACTGAACCCTGATTGGATCAGGCACTAATGTACTCGGCATACAGGAGTGACATTTTGGTTGGAGGACATCGCCTTTTTATTAGAGAACCCAACAATCTTTACTCAACTACTTTCAACTTCGAGCCCCATAATCTTATTTGAGTCCCAACGGTTTTAATCGGAGAACCCCAGATATTCAAAGGATATCCCAATCCCAGATATTCAAGGGATCTATCCCAAACCCAGATATTCACGGGATATTCAAAACCCAGATACTCAAGGGATATCCCAAACCCAGATATTCAAGGGATATCCCAAGCTCAGATACTCAAGGGATATCCCAAACCCAGATATTCAAGGGATATCCCAAACCCACATATTCAAGGGATATCCCAAACCCAGATATTCAAGGGATATCCCAAACCCAGATATTCAAGGGATATTCCAAGCCCAGATATTCAAGGGATATCCCAAACCCAGATATTCAAGGGATATCCCAAACCCAGATATTCAAGGGATATCCCAAGCCCAAATATTCAAGGGATATCCCAAACCAGATATTCAAGGGATATCCCAAACCCAGATATTCAAGGGATATCCCAAACCCAGATATTCAATGGATATCTCAAACCCAGATATTCAAGGGATATGCCAAAATTCATGGGATCTAAATATTCTATATTAGACCGCTTTTCTATAGAGAACTCCACTGGAATCCAATGAAAAGGGATCTCCGATAAACATGTTGACGTGTCGGAGGGTGTCTCCGATAAACATGTTGGTGTGTCGGAGGGTGTCTCTGATGAACATGTTGGTGTGTCGGAGGGTGTCTCCGATAAACATGTTGGTGTGGCGGAGGGTGTCTCTGATAAACATGTTGGTGTGTCGGAGGGTGTCTCTGATAAACTTGTTGGTGTGTCGGAGGGTGTCTCTGATAAACTTGTTGGTGTGTCGGAGGGTGTCTCTAATAAACATGTTGGTGTGTCGGAGGGTGTCTCTGATAAACATGTTGGTATGTCGGAAGGTGATTCTTATGAACATGTTGATGTGTCGGAGGGTGTCTCTGATAAACATGTTGGTGTGTCGTGGGTGTCTCTGATAATCATGTTGGTGTGTCGGGGGTGTCTCTGATAAACATGTTGGTGTGTCGGGGGTGTCTCTGATAAAAAGGTCTCATAAAGTATATTTTTCCAGACTCCTCGTTTATACTCAAGCTTTCTTTTTATCACAACAGCCATAACTGCATAATTTCTGCTAAATTATTTCAGAATAAATCAGAATATCATGATTTATTGCGATAAATAGGAAAAGTACATAAATATATTAATATGGGTGTAAATTTGTTTTTAAAATATACCAATCATATTTTTTTCGATCACAATCACATAGATACATTTAAAATATTACAGTACAACATCAGAAAGCTTGGAACCTACTATAATAGTACAAGAATTGAATTTGAATATAATATTCATTAATGTAAAGAAAAAAAATGTTTTAAAGAACAAATTGAAATGTCGAATTTACAGATCATTTGTTTACTAAAACTATAAACCGATTTGTTTATAAATAGTTTTACATAACTAGGACATACACATACATAATACATTAAGTTATATAGATACATCAAACCTATAAAGGGGTAGAATGGAATTGTAATTGGTTCAAATACGAGTAAAATTTTCACATAGTGCTTGGCTTTTAAATATTTGATCCATTTTATAACACTTAACATTTTAAGCGTTAAAGGGTCTTCTAAAACACTTGCAAAGTTTAGCTTAATTTAACTTATTATTCTTTAAAAGTTTGATATTTTTTACATTGTGCTAAATCTGACTTTGACGGAAGATTCAACGTTCGTTTAAAAAAGTGTTATACAATAAACTTTTAAAACATACACTTTTGCATTATTTTTTACTTTTCAGATTATTGTAAAGCCTTTTCAAGCCAAGAAAATTCTTATAAATGGATCAAAATCTATGGCCATCACTAGTCTTACATATGGTAGATTAAGAAATATATATCAGTAAACGATTTTACTACAAAAAAGGAATTGAGTCTTTGCCACAAATTTTCAAATCCCAATATCTTCAGAACCCGATGGTATAAACCTTCAATTTTTTAAATTTAGATTGTTGATCTAACAGAATTCAAAGCTGGGTTGCAAAGAAATGGGAATTAAAAAATATAACTTTTTGCATAGACTCAATTCCATTGTACTGCACGTGTGGGTGTAACGTACTGCAGTAGTCGATGTAGCTTCCCAATTTAGATATTTCTTGGCTAGACGGCGGATACTGCATAAAGAATTGGGGNGGGGGGGGGGTAATTGTATTGTACTGTTTTGGTTTAAATGTTGGTGATGCAGGAATGCAAAGAGAATATATATAAAGTAGTGGTTTAGTGTGATGTACTTTTTTACATGGAAAATATGAGATTCTAAATTAAAAGAATTGATGTCATGTGGTATGTAAGGAGCTTGGCACTATTATAATTACAAAGATAAACTTATTAAATCGTGTAAAATCCCAAAGCAGGATAATCTAGATATTGTATCTCGAAGTAAAATAGTACTTGTTATTTACATTCATGATTCTTACAGATCCTTGGAAGGAAATTAATACATAAAATAGGGTTGACTAGAGACGACACTAAATTGAGATTATGATTTATAACTCTCCCTTCCCCATTGAATCAAAGTATGAAGCAGCGTTTCAAGTAATTTTTTAGATTTGATAAAGATTTAGTGTTTCAACTTGTTAGAATTGGTAGGGATGGATGGGCCAAATCAAAATTTATTTTAGGATTTTATTATTTTATTTTGGCAGAGATTATTTTATCGGAGTTTGGACGGGTTTCAAACTGACTTTACTGATTCTCTGGCAAACCCCGTCCACTCCGCCACATCCGCCCAGGGTCGCTGGGTGAGAAATCAGTTCCTGAGTTGTCTCCGCCCCGGCGGATGGATCTGCTCTGAAACTTAAGGAGGCGGAGTTGACACAGTATCTGAGTCCTGTAGGTTTCGGTCCGTCCTTAAACACATGACCAAGATGGGATCCGCATTTCAGACAGGATATTTCAGTTCTAACCAAAGCAACACGCAACAATTAAAATAAAGTTTTTTTGAACTATTCTTTTTACCATTCTTTACAAATATTTGATTTTCTATATCATTTTACTCCAAGCCTCCATTCCTTCCCAATCTTACATATTTACTTTTTTCTAAAATATTCCTCATGAATTATTCCATTCTATAGAAATCTATCATTTTCTGAAACATTTTGATGCATTTTATCTCATCCTTCAAAAAGTATACTGTATATTCGAGCAAATATTGTGATGAAGAAAAATATGATTAGTACAAGGTTTAGGATGGAGGACTGTAGAAGGGGTTGAAGAGGAGAATGATTTGATATGAGAAGGTTTGGTAAAATAAAATAAATAATTATGAAATAAATCAAAGGATAATAAAAGAATGATTGAGAAAAGGTAAAGGATGAATAAAAGGAGGATTGAGAGAATGTAAAGAATGAATAAAAGGAGAATTGAGAGAAGGTTAAGGATAGAATGATCAAAAGAGAATTCCTACTGAAATGAAACAGAATGATTAAGAAAAGAAAAGTTTGTAATGAACAAGAGTAGGTTTGGAACTAAAGTAGGCTTGGAACTAGAGTAGGCTTGGAACTAGAGTAGGCTTGGAACCAGAGTAGACTTGGAACTATAAGAGTAGGCTTTAAACTAGAGTAAGTATAGAACTAGAGTAGGTTTGGAACCAGAGTATGTTTGGAAGAATAGTAAATTGAAACACGAGTAGGTTTGGAACTAGAGTAGGTTTAAAATAGGAGTAAATTTTGAACTTCAGTAGGTGTGCAACTAGAATAGGTTTAGAACACGATAAGGTGTTAAATAAGAGTAGGGTTGGAACTAGAGTAGGTTTGGAATTAGACTAGATTTGAAACAATAGTAGATTGCAATCAAGATAAGGTTTGGAACTAGAGTAGGTTTGGAACTAGAGTAGGTTTGGAACTAGAGTAGGTTTGGAACTAGAGTAGGTTTGGAACTAGAGTAGGTTTTGAACTAGAGAAGGTTTGGAACTATAGTAGGTTTGGAACAAGAGTAGGTTTAGAAATAGAGTAGGTTTAGAAATAGAGTAGGTTTAGAACTAGAGTAGGTTTAGGGAACTAGACTAGATTTGAAACAAGAGTAGGTTGCAAACAAGATTAGGTTTGGAACTAGAGTGGGTTTGAAACTAGAGTTGGTTTGGAACTAGAGTAGGTTTGGAACTAAAGTAGGTTTGGAACAAGAGTAGGTTTGGAACTAGAGTAGGTTTGGAACTAAAGTAGGTTTGGAACTAGAGTAGGTTTGGAACAAAAGTAAGTTTGGAACAAGAGTCGGTTTGTAACAAGAGTAGGTTTGGAACAAAAGTAGGTTTGGAACTAGAGTAGGTTTGGAACTAGAGTAGGTTTAGAACTAGAGTAGATTTGGAACAAGAGTAGGGTTGGAACAATAGTAGGTTTAGAACTAGAGTAGGTTTAGAACTAGAGTAGATTTGGAACAAGAGTAGGTTTTGAACAAGATTAGGTTTGGAACTAGAGTAGGTTTGGAACAATAGTAGGTTTAGAACTAGAGTAGGGTTGAAACAATAGTAAGTTTGGAACAAGAGTCGGTTTGGAACAAAAGTAGGTTTGGAACAAAAGTAGGTTTGGAACTAAAATAGGTTTGGAACAAAAGTAGGATTGAAACTAGAGTAGACTTGGAACAAGAACAAGTTTGGAACAACAGTAGGTTTGGGTTGGATCTAGATTTGGTTTAAAACAAAAGTAAATTTGGAACTTGAGTAGGTTTGGAACAAGAGAAGGTTTGGAACAAGAGAAGGTTTGGAACAAGAGTATGTTTTGAACAAGAGTAGGTTTGGAACAAGAGAAGGTTTGGAACAAGAGAAGGTTTGGAACAAGAGTATGTTTTGAACAAGAGTAGGTTTGGAACAAGAGTAGGTTTGGAACAAGAGTAGGTTTGGAACAAGAGTAGGTTTGGAACAAGAGTAGGTTTGGAACAAGATTAGGTTTGCAACAAGATTTGGTTTGTAGCTAGAGTAGGCTTGGAACTAGAGTAGGTTTGGAATATGAGTAGGGTTGGAACTAGAGTAGCTTTGGAACTAGAGTAGGTTTTTAACTAGAACAGGTTTGGAATTAGAGCAGATTCGAAACAAGGGCAGGTTTAGAAATAGAGTAGGTTTGGAACTAGAGTAGGTTTGGAACTACAGCAGGTTTGGACCTAGAGTAGGTTTAGAACTAGCGTAGGTTTGGAACTATAGTAGGTTTGGAACTAGAGTAGGTTTGGAACTAGAGTAGGTTTAGAACTAGAGTAGGTTTAGAACTAGAGTAGATTTGGAACAAGAGCAGGTTTGGAATATGAGTAGGTTTAGAACTAGAGTAGGTTTGGAACTAGAGTAGGTTTGGAACCAGAGTAGGTTCGGAATATGAGTAGGTTTAGAACTAGCATAGGATTGGAACTAGAGTAGGTTTATGAACTAGAGTAGATTTGGAACAAGAGCAGGTTTGGAATATGAGTAGGTTTGGAACTAGAGTAGGGTTGGAATATGAGTAGGTTTGGAACTAGAGTAGGTTTGGAACTAGAGTAAGTTTATGAACTAGAGTAGGTTTGGAACTAGAGTAGGTTTGGAACTAGAGTAGGTTTGGAATATGAGTAGGTTTGGAACTAGAGTAGGTTTGGAATATGAGTAGGTTTGGAACTAGAGAAGGTTTGGAACTAGAGTAGGTTTGGAATATGAGTAGGTTTGGAACTAGAGTAGGTTTGAAATATGAGTAGGTTTGGAACTAGAGTAGGTTAGGAACATGAGTGAATATGAGTAGGTTTAGAACTAGAGTAGGTTTAGAACTAGAGTAGGTTTAGAACTAGAGTTGGTTAGGAACTAGAGTAGGTTTGGAAATAGAGTAGGTTTGGAACTAGAGTATGTTTGGAACTAGAGTAGGTTTAGAACTAGAGTAGATGTGGAACAAGAGCAGGTGTGGAATGAGTAGGTTTAGAACTACAGTAGGTTTGGAACTAGAGTAGGTTTGGAATATGAGTAGGTTTAGAACTAGAGTAGGTTTGGAACTAGAGTAGGTTTATGAACTAGAGTAGGTTTGGAACTAGAGTAGGTTTGGAATATGAGTAAGTTTGGAACTAGAGAAGGTTTGGAACTAGAGTAGGTTTGGAATATGAGTAGGTTTGGAACTAGAGTAGGTTTGAAACAAGAACAACAAAGTTTGTTCTAAACTAAGAAGAAAATGTTTTCAACTGAGTTTATATTTATCCCACGAACTGCAGTTCCTGACCCTAATACCTCTTTGTTTGATGTAGGATAGAGCTCACAGAAATCCAGACATCAAGTAAAAGGTGCCTCATTTTTCAAAACAGGGTAGACTTTAAAGTGTCGCCTTGGCTTTTTGATTTTATCACAAAAACTAACTTTTATTTTTTTTGGTCTTAGTCATATAAATTTAACAATTGTAAAGCATAAGTTTGAGACTTTTTTTAAAGAAGTAATTGACAAAATTCTTATTGCTTTTTGTGTGAGAGCTTTAAAATGTTGGATGACTGTGAGAGAAGAGAGGGTTTGTTTACCTGCTGATGCATCGCTCCTACTCCGGATATTAGATTTGTCCAATACGTCCCAGAAAGACGGCCACCCACTACCGGAGTCGTATTTGGTGCTGCTGGAGAAATGATCAGCGAAACAAACCACGCAACTATAAAAAAAAATTGTTAAATCAATGAAACTATAGATCTTAAAAATCAACAGAAAAAAAATCAATGAAAATCTGTTCTTTGTTACACTTGTTTTTGGAGACCAATGTATAAAATTCAGTTGTGTTATCTTTTAAAGCAATAAAAAAGAAGTGCAAAAAAGAGTTTGTTTTCTTAGTGATAATAAACTAAAGAGATCAAAGAGAAAAATTATAAAAAATTGAAGAAAAGTACGATAAGATGAAGGGTGAAAATAAAATAATTAAATAAAAATGTTTTAACCTGTATATTCCAACCTCTTTGTGCTTGTAATATTCATTCGTAAACTGTCTAAAAAAATTAATTTTTGAAACCGTTAAATTTAAAAGATAATTTTTTGAAAAAATCTTGCTTACTTTTCTGTATGATGTTCCTGCGTGACCTGGTATTGAGTTGGGGTCAACCTCTCCCTTAGCTCTGCCTTGTCAAATACTAGACTCGGAGAATCATCCTTACCAGGCATTCTTAGACCTAGAGAAATACAGTTAAAGTAATAATCAATATTTAGAGAAATTCTTGTTATTTTTCCAATCACATAAATCAAATAGTAAGCAACTGACGGTTAAAGATGAAATTTAAGAATTGTTAAATTTTCTAGAGGGGGGGGGGGTTTCAGCCCCCCCCCCCTGTAAAAGGTCCCGTCTACAAGAGCCCTTATCAACTTGCAAGATTAGATTTAGCAACAATTGTAAAACTTTGTAAACGTTTGCTCCGTTTCCGGTTTTAGCGTTCTTTAGACGGTTTCCTTCTCTCGGCTTCTATTCTTAACATAGCATCGTTCAACTAAGTGTGAACAATATTTCTTGGTTTTAAAAGTGAAAATAGAAATGAGGTTGCCACAAACTCTAATATTCTATAATAATTTCTTAGTTTAGAATATTGAGGGTTTACAGATATAGGGATAGATAGGAATTAGAAAATTAAAGCTTGTGGTAAATACTCTGTTCCTTTCTTATGTTTTTTTTGATTTTTGATTATTTCACAAAAAATGCTGCATTGATAAAAAATGAAAATTAAAAACCGTTCGTTTCCAAGTTTCCCCATATATCCGTATACCCTGGTTTTTGTCAGACCCGGAGTTAAAACCTGAATCCCTCGAATAATAAATCCTTCTTTGTCCCATCCTTGACAAAACGTCCTGGAGATTTGAATTCTGAATTTATTATTCTAATTTAATCTAATATTTCATCTATATTCTTGAATCTGTGGTGTTCCAATGTAATATTTCAAGAATTATGCAGATATAACAGATTGAGAATTTTGTTATTCCACAAATCAAATTTGCAAACTGAAGGAACTGAATGAGATACTTTTTATTGTTAAGCAGTTTCAGAAAAACCCTTAAAATAAAATTTCTCATTCAAATTTTTAAAATTAATTTTATACTTCAACTTTTGCTTTGGGATAGCAAAGCACATACTCTCTATTTGTGTTTATGATCAAAACTCCTGAGGGGAGGGGGGTTGCCAATATTGACTATATTGAGGTAGGGTGCAATGGGGGAGGGGGTTGGTGTGGAAGTTTGATAGGAAGGATAAGAAAACGAGTAAATAAAAGATTAAGATTATGTCACCTTACTGTGAGATACTATTCAACTAGACTATCCACTTTAAATCCTATTTCAACTATTATATATATATCTATCAATCTATCTATTTATCTATCTATCAATCTATCTATCTATCTATCTATCCTTCCTTCCTTCTATCTATCTATCTATCTATCTATCTATCTATCTATCTATCTATCTATCTATACTAGCTATCGGATATTATGCAAGAATGACACTATAGCATTTACAGCAAACAAAGTCTGGTCACAATTATAGAAATAAAATGTGCACAAAAATCTGGTTGATATGAAAAACTTATAAATTTTATTTAGAGAAACATGATTTTTAACTAAATGATATTTCTTGGCATTATCTTGGTTAATATTTTTAAAAACTTTTTCATTTAATCAAATGATTCAAGCAGTTTTCTCTATCCCACTAGCAAAAAAAATAGAGATGTAAAAAAGGAGAAAAAAATTGAAAAATTTTAATTTTCTAGGAATGTGCTTTAATTGGGATATGTTCCAGTTTTCCTCGATGATTTTCAAGAAATTAAGATTATATATATATATATAGGAGAAGTAGATCTACTATGTGGTGGACTCCCCTGCCAAGGGTTAATATTGTATATATATTTAGGAGAAGTATAACTATCTATAGATATCTTTTATAATCCACGCACGAGAAAACGAGAACGAGAACGAGAAAAGAAGTCATTGCTGCAGGTGAATAATCTTTGTTAATTGTTAGAGTACAACACAGCTAGTATAAGGGGTTAAATTAAGGGTTAAATGTTAATTAAATTAGGAGTAAAATGTAAAGGAAATAAGAATATTTTTTTTATGTTTTTAGAGAACAAGAATGTTTAGAGAACATGAATGTTTAAATAGAACAAGAATATTTAGAGGATAAGAATGTTTAGAGGATAAGAATGTTTAGAGAACATGAATGTTTAAAGAGAACAAGAATATTTAGAGAACAAGAATGTTTAAAGGATTAGAATGATTTTTTTTCAAAACAAAATGTTTTTACATGACAAGAATGTTTGGAGAACAAGAATGTTTAATGGATTAGAATGATTTTTCACAAGAATGTTTTTAAGGATAAAATGTTTTTAGAGAACAAGAATGGTTTAAAAGTACAAGAATGTTTTGAGTACAAGAATGTTTTGAGTTCAAGAATATTTATTTGATCTATTTGCTTAAGTCTGATCTAAATTGTTTTATCTAAGTTTTATATCTTTAGTTTTCCTTGCAATCTGAAGCACTTTCTCTTTTCTTAAGTTTTTAATTCTGATAATCTACCTCCCTTCTCAATATACTTGCAAGGTACTGTTCCAAGTACACCCCTTAATTAGCTAAAAACAGAACCAAAAAACAAGACAACTTATGTAGATTTATTTTTAAGGTTTGGATCTATTGAATCTGATGAAGCTCAAGATTATATTATAAAAATTGATATCCTATGAAGAAAATTTTGAAATTTAGCCTATTAAGTCATTCAAGTGTTTTTGAATTAAGTTAAAAATTGTCTCACCCATGTTCACTCTGATCGGATAAACTTGTTTTATATCTGCTTGAAGTTTAAAACTTATATACAGTCTTCTATAGTCTACTGTAGTCTACTGTAGTCTACTGTAGTCTACTGTAGTCTACTGTATAACAGGTTTGTCTGCTGTATATATTGAATACTATATAGTATACAATATATACAGTCTTCTATAGTCTACTGTAGTCTACTGTATAACAGGTTTGTCTGCTGTATATATTGTATACTATATACAGTCTACTGTATATACGGTCTACTGTAGTCTACTGTATACCGGTGGCCGTGGGTAGTAACTACTGTATATACAGTCTACTGTATACAATAATACAGCTGGTTAATAACTACTGTAGTGTATATACAGTCTACTGTAGTCTACTGTATACAGGTGGTTAATAACTACTGTTTATACAGTCTACCGTAGTCTACTGTATACAGGTGGTTGATAACTACTGTATTCTGCTGTAGACTTATACATACTAGTAACTAGTACCAGCCTATACAGTATAACAGTCTAATACTAGCGGATCCGATACCTAGAAGTCTTTTTAGTTTCCTGAAACAGCGCTTCTCTCTCTCTCTCTTTAAAATAAATTAGTTCTTCCTATTTCTGTTTTATTCTGGTTTAAATACTCGATATGCTCAGCTGCATTCTATCTGCATTCACTCTATATTTACAAGATTTGGTTGTATTTCATTCAATAAAATGTTCATATATTTTGTTAAGGGATTAAGATAAAGAAATTTCATGAACTCTTTAAAAAAATCCACACAGACAACTTTTTGAAATCATTGGGGCAATCTTTAAACACTTTAAAACTTTAAATATCTATTTGAGTCCCTACATTCCAATCCTTCTCTTTTCAGACCTATATGCATAGGTTTGCAAATTTTACTTAAATTTTTCCCATATCATGTTTCTTTAAAGGAAATTTAATATACTGCACAGCAAACACTGAACATTGAACACTGAACACTGAACATTAAACACTGAACACTGAACACTGAACACTGAAAACTGAATACTGAACACTGAAAACTGAACACTAAACATTGAACACTGACCACTGAACAATGAACACTGAACACTGAAAACTGAACACTAAACATTGAACACTGACCACTGAACAAAATAAACACTGAACACTGAAACGTGCTGAACACTGAACACTGACCACTAAACATTGAACACTGAACACTGAACACTGAACACTGAACGCTGAACACTGAACACTGAACACTGAACACAGTGCACAGAGTATTGAATATTGAACACTGCATTATACAGGATAATTCACATCATATTGTATTAAACATAACTCCTAATTTGTAATATTAAAGACGTTCTGGCAAATTCATTCTTTTCAATTGATGATAATTAAATGAATATTTTGGTGGAAAACTGAAATCTTGGAAAAAAACAGACAACAGAAAATGTTAAGATGAGCAAATTAAGAATTGTCAATTTGTTATTCACATTATTGACTATTTCAAAAATGACAAATAGGGCAATTTGTTATGAATATAAAATATATTGAGACTCACTGTAAGTATACGCTAGGATAAACTGCGTATCTGAGACCTGGTAATGAACTGCTGGACTAAGGAGAGACTACAAACATGACGAGGAGAAAGATGAAAGCTTGGACGGGTTCCAGCAAATATTTGAAAAACATTCCTGAGAATGTTTTAATATCTAATTTCAAGGGTAAGTCAGGATAAAAACAAACGTTTAAATGATTAATTCATTTATTTTGTGCTTAGATTTTGCAGAATACGTTCACTGTTTGTCAGACGAGAAAATAAGGTGAAAAATCAAAACTTTTGGCTTAATCTTTAAATCAAACCCTGAGTGCGAAAGTCTTGTTTTAATTCTCATTGTGTACAGCTTAGTCCATAGACTTTTACAATACAAGGAAATATTATATAGGAACTATTTGAACAAGCTTTATCTATAATAACAAAACATATATTCTTGATTTGGTGGAGGNGGGGTGTAGATAAAAACAAATTCGGTAAATGGTTTCAATATTTAATGAACAATGAATTAATTGGAATAAATCAGAATTATGGTGATATTTATATTTTACAACGAGGAAATAAGTAAATGCAGATAAAAATCGTCAAACTGCTCTAAACAATTTACACTAATGACATTAATAATTTGCGGTCTAAAGGCTCATTGCCTGGCCTGTTTACTATAAGGATGTTACGCATTGGTGAATCAATATCAAAGGACTCATCTCTACGCATCTATTTACGCTTCTGCACATTATCTTGCTGTTGTCATCATCATTACATAGAATTGTTAACCATTAACTTTAAGACCTCTGAATAATGTCGTCTTCAACTTAAAACCTCCTATCGGAGACAAAACCATACCAAATAATTTCAGCCCGCAATTACTTTGTACTCCGCCTCATGGAGCCAAAACATTTTTCGTTTATTGTGAAATCATTAAAGTTAAGCAAGAATAGTTTCATATAAAGCATCAGTGAATTTCATTAAATATTAAAAATGTAACTTTTTCAGAAGTTTAAAAAAAAGCATTTCAATACCGATCAACAATAAGTTCCCCTACCATCCCCTATTAAATCGTAAGATTTATTTTATTATTAACATTTATTATAACATTGTACATGTAACCATGATCTATAATTTATGTTATTTAATAAATAAAGCCTTTGTTATCGATTTTCTTGAGACGGGACAATTCTGTTATGTGTATTGCTACGACCGACTGGGATATAAGAGTCTGGGGAAATAAATATCCCCCACCAGAATCTCAACGGGTCTTTTATTCAAATTTGTCTGGTGTGTTGCTGTTATCTGTCAACAAGAATATGTACATTGTACAGCTGGTCTCCCACAAAGAATATACTTTAATTATGACCTGGAACCATTAAAATATGAGATCTTAAGGTAAATTGTAACCTTTGGATTTGATATTGTCTTTTAAGGTGCAGGGGCGAATACAGGATTTAAGTGAGGGGGGGGGGCAAGATTTTTTAGGAACAAAAAATTCATAATTAGGAACAAAAAATCGCGCCGCAGGGGAAAATTATTTTTGACTTTAAAGACTCAAAAAGAGTCAAAATTAATGACTAAAGATTAAAAAATTAGATTTTTAACTTTTCACACATTACAGTTTACTAAGACAGATATATTTCCTGTTTTGCACTAGGGTTTCTTTCCCTTAAGCATGCTATTGAGAAGCTATTCTGAAAATAGGAACAAAAAATTCCAAATTCAGGGGGGGGGCGAATGTCCCCTGTTAAGGTGTACAAATAGATTTGGGTATTTTGTAATGTTGGGTGGGGAAGGTAATTTTTACCGGTGTGGAATTGTAAAGGAAATGATCTGCGAAATGTGTTTAAGCAATGAGATTGAAGAATCNCTGTAAACTGTAAACTGTAAACTGTAAACTGTAAACTGTAAACTGTAAACTGTAAACTGTAAACTGTAAACTGTAAACTGTAAACTGTAAACTGTAAACTGTAAACTGTAAACTGTAAACTGTAAACTGTAAACTGTAAACTGTAAACTGTAAACTGTAAACTGTAAACTGTAAACTGTAAACTGTAAACTGTAAACTGTAAACTGTAAACTGTAAACTGTAAACTGTAAACTGTAAACTGTAAACTGTAAACTGTAAACTGTAAACTGTAAACTGTAAACTGTAAACTGTAAACTGTAAACTGTAAACTGTAAACTGTAAACTGTAAACTGTAAACTGTAAACTGTAAACTGTAAACTGTAAACTGTAAACTGTAAACTGTAAACTGTAAACTGTAAACTGTAAACTGTAAACTGTAAACTGTAAACTGTAAACTGTAAACTGTAAACTGTAAACTGTAAACTGTAAACTGTAAACTGTAAACTGTAAACTGTAAACTGTAAACTGTAAACTGTAAACTGTAAACTGTAAACTGTAAACTGTAAACTGTAAACTGTAAACTGTAAACTGTAAACTGTAAACTGTAAACTGTAAACTGTAAACTGTAAACTGTAAACTGTAAACTGTAAACTGTAAACTGTAAACTGTAAACTGTAAACTGTAAACTGTAAACTGTAAACTGTAAACTGTAAACTGTAAACTGTAAACTGTAAACTGTAAACTGTAAACTGTAAACTGTAAACTGTAAACTGTAAACTGTAAACTGTAAACTGTAAACTGTAAACTGTAAACTGTAAACTGTAAACTGTAAACTGTAAACTGTAAACTGTAAACTGTAAACTGTAAACTGTAAACTGTAAACTGTAAACTGTTAACTGTAAACTGTAAACTGTAAACTGTAAACTGTAAACTGTAAACTGTAAACTGTAAACTGTAAACTGCAATTTCCAGTATACAAGACCGAATAAACTTTTTTTTAACAATTGTTTAAAACATGAAGATTTTGTTTAAAACACAAAAAGAAAGTTTTGCAAAAATATAGTTTTATAATCTTAGTAAATATGAATACTTGATGTCTACCGATAAAACTGAAATATTGAAAACTATGAAAATGGATATTTCAGATAAAATCTTATGTTTTATTAATCCTTCTAAACTTTAAACACTTAAAAATAATTAATCTTAATAGGTTCTCAGCAGTAGGTTTACTATTGATATTTATATACAAAGGAGAACCCCTCTTTATAGTTTACTATTGTATTGGACCCCATGTCCCGGAGTTCTATTTTCTCATGGTTTGTCAAATATCTTTGTTTTCAATAATACCCTGTACTGTAAAATTTTATTATTAAGCTTTCTTAATCTACAGATCAGAACTTATTTAATCACGCCCTCTCCCCCCTTGAATGTCCCCTGTTAAGGTGTACAAATAGATTTGGGTATTTTGTAATGTTGGGTGGGGAAGGTAATTTTTACCGGTGTGGAATTGTAAAGGAAATGATCTGCGAAATGTGTTTAAGCAATGAGATTCTAGAATCTGTAATCCTTCTCCGAAAATTTCCTTCTCTCAGTCTTCGGAAAACCTAGGGGAGGGCATACGGCACCCCCCCCCCTTAGTTTTCTGTTAAAATTAATTGCTGGGATCTGTATTGGATTTAAAGCATAATTTGTAAAATTACAAACGAATCGACAAAAAACTCAAATATTATAAATTAAAAATTTGAAGTTAAAAAACATTAAAAATGCAGATCAGTCAAATCTGTGGTATATAAATATGTTGTAGGTAGGTCTCCACGCCTGCACCATTCTGATCTCCAATAAAACATGTTTGGCTTTTACATCCATCAAAAGCCTTTTTATTCGAAAAATTGCAATATGATAAAAAAGTGTTCAATGATTCAAATGTGTGAAGAAAGCTTACTTTAATTAAGATTAAGACTTCTATTTTGAAAAGCACAGATTCAAGTATTTCACAAAAACTTTCATGTTTTGTAAATTGGTACACATATAGTTGGACTCGTACATGATACACCTATTAAATAATGTATATTTTTATAAAGCTTCAATAGTTCTTCACAAGTTTAGGAATTTGTTAAATTTAGAAAAACAAATTGAAGTCTTAATTTCAATTTAAATAAAATTTTTAATACAAATTGTTTATGTATTATTAAAAATATTTTGTATCATGTTAATATTTTTCGAAAAAAGGCTTATGGTGGATGTAAAAGCCAAATATGTTTTATTGGAGATAAGAATGCTGAACGTGGAGACAGAATCGCAGCAGACTTAGCGTGAGACACGGAGAAGGTTTTAATTGGCTTTATCATTCTGCGAATCAGGAGGCTCCGGAGTTCATACTTGTAGATTAATAGAGATTAATATAGAACTATACTCTACACTTGGAGATTAATAAAGATTAATATAGAATGTCATTCTGTGAATCAGGAGGCTCCGGAGTTCATTACGCGGGGCTCATGACGGCTCTGCACCCCTCCCTAGTGGCCCTAGTAGAGCTAGCTAGTCTGTAATACCAATGGATAATGTTTTAAAAGTTGAATATGAATATCGTCTTCAAAATTCATTTATGAGACAAAAAACTAGAATTACTGAATTTTAAAATAAATAGTTATAGGACCCACTTCAACTTAATTTATAAATCAGGAAACGCCTTTTGTACCGGATGTGCAGTGAGAACCAGAAAACTACAGGAATTTAGAAAGAAGACATTTAAGCCATAATTAATTGGATTATATGGTGTTAAAAACCACATAGTTTTACACGTAACTTATCATATAATCACTTATTAACTAAAATTGGTCTGTTCACACTTCACATCTGCTGTATCTCATGTTCAATGGACTATTTAAAGTCATTACTTGAGTCTAAAAGTCGTCTTCCTATTTCATAGTTTTATGGTTATGTATCAGTATTCAGTGTATAGCTGCAATATGCTCCTAATATGGTGCCCCCCCCCCCTCCAAGCAAATTATTAAAATGTCATGATATGAAAGTTGTCAATAAAACCTGTTGATTTTATGGTAATCATGAAATCCTAAATCCTAGTGAAAATGTGCAACTAATTCACCACATTCTTCAATGGCCAGCATTATGCATTAAGAATTTTGCACTATTTATTTAGTAAACGCCTACTCCATAATAATTTCTGGAAACGTATCTATCCAGGTACAGCTCAGATTCTCTTAACTATCAATGTGAACACACGGCTTCAATCCCGTGAAATATCAACGCCACTACCACTTGGCGCGATCTTGCTCGCTATCCATGTCAATACGGATCCTATACTATTAATCAAGCTCTAAATGCCACACAGGGACAAAACGTAGCTATCAAACAAGCTATTAATCAAGCTCAAAATGCCACACAGGGACACAAGGGTAGCTATCAAACAAGCTATTAATTGATCTGTACCAAATACCGAGGTATGACTTCAGCCCGTATGTTTTAATGATGACACAATTCATGTTTTAATCATGTTACTGTAGCTCATGTTTATAAAGGTATGCTCAGCTTAGCAAATATGAGGATTGATATAATATTTGCTACATGCACTGCACTGCATACTTTCATGAAACTCCGCAATAATGCATTTTATGTGTTGTCAAGCACTTTTATTTTATCACAAATGCATTAAGGTTTCTTTTCATTTTTATGTTCTGAATTTATCTTAATGTCAAAAAATGTTTTTTAAATATCGAACCACTCCTGTATGCCAAGTCCATTAGCGCCTGATCCAATCAGAGTTATGAATCCTTAAATCAGTAAATGGAAATTTTCAACTATACTGAACGTCTCATGAGCTATTCCAAAATAGGGTAAGGAACCTTAAAACTTAAATCTGACGGACATGTAAAAATCCGTATAATTTCAATTTCATGAAATAAATTTTTTAAGACACAAACACGGTGGCCATATTATGAAAACAACCAAGAGTAGCATTTTACATTTGTAACTGTTTTAACTGGAAAACTTTTATTGTTCTTATGTGCGAAAATGATACCGCATGTACGCCGTACGGTGTAACAAAAATATTATAAAATGTCTCAACTTGAATTCTACGTTTTTTTTCTGGCGTCAAGGCGCGCTGCCTTTAATTTAATAAAGAAATTTAGAAATGTTGGGAAATTGAGTTTCAGGAGTTTTAAATTGATAACACCGAAGTTTTAAATTGAAAACATCAAATTATAAACTGTAAACTGTAAACTGTAAACTGTAAACTGTAAACTGTAAACTGTAAACTGTAAACTGTAAACTGTAAACTGTAAACAAAACTTTAAACTCGATCCCTCATTTTTTTTATTTACACATCCTGGATCCCGGTCTTATCACTTCCTCTTTTCTCTTTATCTTGTTATACCAGCTGTAGAAACTAATCTCTATGTTCGTTCTTAGCCGACGGGTTAAAAATATTTCTGATCCTAACTCAAGCTTCTCCGAAACCCAGGAATTTCCTTTTCGTCCCAACCCTTAATCTTCACAACCGTCTGGACATATTTCCTACAGATTGATATCTTGTCTTGAATTCTAGTAAAATATTTCGATCCAATTAGAGGGGTTTTCCTCTT